GAGGCACCCTCAATGTATATTGGAGTCAAGGGTGACCCAACAACAGACATCTCTCTCGTCCACCACTTTTACCGTCACCGAACAATGAAGCCTAAGGCTGGTGGTCCCAAGAAGCGACTGTGGGCATGCCACGGTGCGGTATGCCGCCTCACCTTTGGGTACCACAGTACCATCAAGGAGGCAAAAGAATGGGTCCACCCATATTCCGGCCAGAGGATGACGAGAGATGAGTACATGAAGATTATCGGATATGACCCTCTCAAGGGTAAAAATCCTGACAAGGATGGACCCACTGATGGCTCTTACCTCTCACCAGAGGCGTGTCTGACACTGTCGGACCTCGACCCTTCGCCGGTTCTCTGTGAATGGAACGGCCATGTCGAGGGTGATGAGCCACCAGAGGAAGACTTTGAGTCATACGCAGAGATCTTCTCACAAGAAGCATCAAACGATCTTGACGAGATGTGGTGTACAAAAGGGCCTTACAAGGTCATCACCATCGCGATCGTCCATTTCAACTCATACATGACTCATAAGGAAGAACAGAGGCGCGAACTGGTGAACGCGTTCCTCAACGAGGTTCTCCCTTTCAAACCGGATGTAATTGCGGGGGATCTCAATAATATTGCGTCGAGGCTCACCTTAAAAGGTGGAGACGTTCACCCGCGAAACGGTTTGTTTTCTCTATACCTGGAGAAGAAACTTGCAGCATTCAACAGAATAGCAGGAAGGCACTCACAAGTGCGACACCTCTGCTTGAACAACTCTGACCAGCACAGACTGGCACGTGCAGATCGTCTACCGCCGGACCCGGCGAAGAAAGTTGCTGACCTCGACTGTATCAACAGTTATGTCCTTGACTGGAGTAAAACGCCGCACACGGCGTCACCTAGTCCAAGAGATGCTACACCTGCCGCCGAAAGAACATACTGGGAACGAGTCTCAGATATGTGGCAGGACATGAACAGAAACAGGGATATCGATATCCGTCTGTTTGTCTCAGTCAAGCAGTACTATTCAACTTTTTCTAACCTTGACCTGTGGTTGAGTCCCTCTGACAAAGATTGGCACAGCCCTTTGGGCTTCACGATACAACCAATCCTTACAAAAGGGAAACACAACCGGTCAGATGCCCAGGTTCAGAAGATCGCTGACAAGCGACAGGCTTACAAGCAGCGTAATGCTGAATACTGGGATTACAAAGACTCATTTATGTATTCATCTGGCAACAGCTGGTACGACAGACAGCAACCACAAGGTAGCTATCACAGATATGGAAGATTCTGGGAAAGGCCACAGCCTGAACGTCCCAGCGAGCCTGAAGGCTCTCCTCCAAGAAGGAGCCAGGCATCATCGTCCTCTTCACAACAAGATCTACCAAGATCGAGATCCAGACCTCAGAGAGCCAGTCTTGTTGACAAGCTCAACATGTCTTTAGAGGAACTGGACACACTGGAGGAAGAACAATCTCCAACAAAAAGTGATATCGAAGAGCACGAACGAGAAACATCAAACCTGATGTCGGCTCAAAGAGATGAAGAGGAACAGGAGGAAGAATCTTCCAGTCGCAGAAGAAGAAGGAAGTCATCGCGACCGCCGTCTGCTCCGAGCAGCAAGGCACTCCGAACAGCTGCCACAGCAGCAGGGTTGTCGAACTGGTTCGGACACCCTAATCAAGGCGGTGCAAAGGGAGAGTCTATCAAGACTGATGAACCTTCACTTCCAAACTCACTAACCAGTGAGCAAGACTTCTCCGTCTTCAGCATCGCGTGGAATGTGTTTCTGCTGCTAATGGGCCTACACTGGATGTGGAAGCAGCTCACCAGGGCTCCCATCAGATGTATGGACCGCCAACAATCAAATGCAAAAGCAGCAGCGAAACGACCACCACCATTTCTCGAACCCGAGAATGAACCACAGACGCGTGAACCTTTAGGACCCAACAGGGTCAATTCTGGAGAAACAACGGATTTGCGACCTGTGTGGCACACTTCCCGAAGCGAAGTCTACCATCTTTCAGACAGCTGTTACCAGCTCAAGCAAGCAAAAGATGTTTCAAGGAAGGTGCTGTGTAAAACCTGCCTCCAGGCAGTACAAGTTGCGGAGATTCGCAGGAACGATCCTTTTCAAAGAGGTGATACACGATCACGTGGCACCGAAAGGGACATTGAACGGTTTCAAACCTATGACGATGCAAGTACTACTCCTCATATGAGGCAATTATTCAGTGATGCATTGCATTCACAAATGGCCGAAGAAGCCATGCAGATTACCTATACATCAATCCCTAAGGGATCCTCGGCAAGAGCCAGAGGTACATCTGCACTCGCAAGTGCCTCATCGTCGTCAGTGCCCAAGGCAATGCCACCAGTGCCTAACAAGGCAAACATGTCACCTCCACCTAAGACTCCTCCGCCAAAGGCGAAAGGAACAGTACCTTCAGATCCTCCGAGACCAAAAGGTCCTACCAGAAGAGGAGGTCAAAATCGGCGCATTCAACGAAAAGCAGCTAGAGAAGCCCATAACAGTGGACTCTGCAACCATGCAGACGCTGCACTTGGCGAAGCCAATCAAGGCCAGGCCATTAACACTATGTGCCGAAACATGGCAGTAAGACACGTCAGCTCTATCGATGCAACGGTAGAAGCAGCCGAGCAGTTTACACAACGCGTGCAACAGCACGTAGAAACATATGATGAAGAGGAACCGTGGAGCACGGAGTTTCTACCAGTCGTGGAAGTCCTATTCAGGAACTTGAGCAGCGACGAAACAACTGTCATACATGACAATCATACGGTAACTATGCCTATTGAGAAATATCTCGACCTCCTCAGAATCGCACAATCATTGCGAAACTCTATCCAGAGAGACAAGGAGGAAAGAAAGGATCATCTTGACACCATCCAAGATACTCTATCCAGAGTGGAAATCCTTCTAACAGCACTGAAGGACTCAAAAACAGTCTTCAATCAATTGGTCCATTCCTCACTAGAGATAGAGCGAAGACATAAAAACCTCAAAAATGTCCTTGAGACACTTTTTGACGACCAAAGCTCTGAGGAAGACCAGTCAGAATCTGACCATGAAGAAGTCCTAACTCCTTCTGCAGCACAGTACTGGAACAGCCTTCATGCCCACGCCTTATCTCCCTCAGGAGATGAAAGTGAAAGATCATGGGCGTCCTCAGACGGACAGCTTGAAAGAAGAAGGGCCGAACGGGCAAAGGCTAAGCAGCCACAACCGGCTAAAGCCGAGGCAACTCCAATCAGCTCACAAGCTGCACCAAAGGCCGAGCCAAAGGCGACTACATCCAACCATGGATATGACACTGCAGACGCCGCCTTCACCAGGGCTGAGAACAGATTACTCGGAATCTTTTCAAGTTCCGAAGAAGATCACTCAGACCCGGATGAACCACATCCGAACGTCTATGCTCGAGCCTATGATCCAAACCTGGATCCAAATCTGAGATAAGGAAAATCTCAGAGTTTCACAACAGTGACTCACAAGGCTCTAACAAGAGCACAGTGAAGGGCTGCATAATTCGATAGAAGAACATTACCAGACCTGATCCTGTACAGACGATCTCTCTGACCAATGTGCATGAAAGAGTTCAAAAGGAGTGATTTCAAGAGTGACTTCAACAGTGTACTTCAGTGCTATACCTAGCATAAACAATATGCTGTTTTTATCATGAGTCCAAACTCCGCAACTGTGACAGTGGGCATAATAGTATATGTGTGAATGTGCGGCCATGCTTCCGGTAAAAGAAAATTAGTGTCTGTTTGTTTGCGTAAACCTCTAAAGGGGTAGCTCTAACAGGTACCTACAGCAATGGCTGCATGCTCATACATATACATTCCGCTGCCCATTGGCTCACAGTGGTTTTACCATATTGAGACAAGACAAGCTCTCCTTGCGTAGCAAGACAAAACAACTACTGTCCGTGTGCAGGGCGCTGCCCTTTGATCCTTAGGGAATAAACTGGTCATACACCTCCTAACAAGGAGCATTTCCTTGTGGGTGTATCGGCTCACCCCCCCCCCCCCCCAGTATACCCCTCGCTTCTCCTCCCCCCCCTGTGGTACTGTGGTTCCTCTGCTTGTCTCCTTTCTCCCCCCCCCCCTCCGCTTCCGGCGTGCCGGGGGGGGGGATACCATTGGGGGGGGGGGGTCGAGAACGCGGAACGCGGACACATATAGACCCTAAACCCGCGAAACCCCCAAAACCGAAACCCTAAACCCGAAACCGTCAGAAATCGTGACGAGGCGCCTGATCCTGCGCGAAGGCCAGGGCCTCCTCCAAAGAACATCCCATGGAGTCCATCCTTTTAGGGTTTAGGGGTTTAGGGGGTTTAGGGGTTGGGGTTTAGGGGTTTAGGGTTTAGGGGTTTAGGGTTTAGGGTTTGGGGGTTTAGGGCTGAGCATCTTCGGAAGGGTCTAGGGGTGCGGCTTCGGGCTGAGCGTGCTTGAGGCATTTAAGGCTTAGGGTTTATAGGGATCTGCAGACCCTTTTTGTCTTAGGAGCCGGGCTTTTTGATGGTTGAGTTGAGGGCTTTGGGCTCTCCATTTCTGTAGTCTTCGCCGAGGCTCCGGGTGAGGATCAGGTTGGTGGTGGAGTTGAGGATGCCAGAGACCCGGCGGACGCAAGCGCCCGGAAGTTGCCGGAGGAGGGAGAAGACGGGAACCTTTGGGCTTAGGGAAGCTTAGGAGTTTATGGAGCCTTTGTATCCTTGAGCTCCTCGTCTACGGCTACGGCTGACACCAGAAATCCGCGTTCAGGAAGGAGGGGGTGGTTCAATGGCTTCTTTATGATGAAAGTTTTGAGGTTTCCACCCAGGAGTCGCTTGCTCGAGGCTTGTCCTGCAACCCTTTGCCCCGGGGGTTCGAACAGACGAGCCGCCCCATCCATCACGCTGGATTCAAAGAGGAACCGCCGCCCATGTCTGGCTGCGAGTTCCGACAACCTGACGCCGGCAAGCAGCGGCGCAGCACAAACTTCTACTTGCAATTGTTCACACGGGCGGTCGACCGCCGAAGCCTGCGATAGCCGAAGGCCACCGGCGGCTTGCTGGCCGTGATGGCATGTGCCTGGCCGATCTCAGGATCAAAAACGTGCTGAAACGTCGCGACTAGAATATTGAAACTGACACACGGAAAGAGAGTGGCCCAACGTGTAACACATCGAACCACGTCGACGATGTCTACTAGACTCTCGACACTGGCACTACCCGAGCGGCCGCATACCATGTATGTGGGTAGTTTTCAAAATGATGGTCCCTTTTGGGATACCCTAAATAATCGGTGCCGTGCTAATATAAGGACCCAAAAGGGGACCATAATTTTGACAACCACCCATGTATGTCCACTCTTTTTGTTGCAGGGCCGGGCGGCCGGTAATGACATGGAGAGCGCCGACTGAAGGAGCGTCAAGGCAGGCTCACCATCCGAGTGTGAGGCATTGATGGCCTCCAGCACCTTAGAGGAGGGACCCTTAATGGGGACCCCTACCCTATAATGGGCTATATAATGGATATATAATAGCTATATTAAGGGTAAGTTTTCGTGGCATCGAATTGAATCGATTTAAAAATATTTGCAATGCACAGTGCACTGTGGTCGACGTAAGTTTTTTCTGGGCACAACGGCCTCAACCTGCGAAACACAAGGATGAATCCCCGACGACTCTGTCAGACTCCCTCTGCCAGTTTGGGCCCAGCGCTGCATCGCATTGCCCATCGAGGTACGCCAAGAGAGCCTCTGACTGTGTGGTTTCGATCCCAAATCGTCCCCAAGTCATTTGCAAACCATGAGCCCGAATGAAGCCAAAAGTCGATAATGCTCTACGACTCTACGTCTCTGCGACTTAATCCCCATAACCAACCCCTGAGCCGTAAACCCCCAGAGCCTCTGCATCCTCCAACTCCGCGACCCCCAGGCCCGGCAGAGAGGATGCTGCCAGGCCTGCAGGGTTACTATATCCCCCTTAGAGCCATTTAAAAAAAGACTATGTTTACTATTCTCTTGGGTTTTATATGAACAAAGAAAAAAAAAACAACTCCTAAGGAGACTATGGGTTAGTTCGGGGTTCACGGTGTGGCCGGGGGCTGGGTGGATCCTACGAAGGGGAGCTTTTGATGGAGGCCTAGTTGGACCTTGAAGAGTCTTCCTGGCAAAGCCCCGAAGCCCAAAAACTATCCTTGGATCCCCGGCAGGCGCGCAGATCGAGCCCCTTCGGATCTGCGACGACGCCGCGGCTGCGAGTGGCCTGGGGATTCCCGAAGTACCAGAACACCGCAACAGAAGAAAGCACCAGAAATGATAAAATCATAGTAATATGAATAATGATAGTAATGAAACTAACAACAATAATAGAAATAATAGTAATAATAGTAGTAATAATAGTAGTAATAATAGTAGTAGTAATAGAATAATAGAAATAATGACAATAATAATAACAAAAGTCTTTTTTGAGCTTTCTTCTCGGATGGCAGTCTGCTCGCAAGCTTGGGTTCCGGCGATGCCAACGACTTGCACCTTGAGATCATAGCCTTAGAGGAGGCCACGGAAAACAAGGGAAGTGCCCTTAACTGGAGCTTGTGCAGAGCTTGTTGCGAAGCCCAAGCGGCGCGTGAGGAGCAGCTCTTTTTTGTCCAGGAGCAGACGCAAGAAAGCCTGATGAGAGACCAATGTCAGCAGGTTTGGGTTCAGTGTTTAGTCGCCCTGCCTTTCCCACGTTGCCGAAGCCCAGCAGCACCACCCGGACCGCCATTGCCGATGCAAGGAGCGGAGCCGGTTCTTTGGCTGATAGATAGAACATGCCGACGGGACGAATCAGGCGGGTTCGGTATTCCACTTGTACTGAATAGTATGGCCCTCTGCTGCATCACATCATGGCAAAGCTCGCACATTACTGCACGAACTACGGCACGAAAGCGCTGCCCCTCAAAGGAACTCGCTGCTCCGCCGAGTCCCACGCGAACTCGCGGACGTTCCCACCTCCCACTTCCCCGAGTGTTAGGACCACCAGGCCTGCCAGGGTCCAGAAGAGGCGACCATGAAACTCTTCATTATTTCTATTACTACCATTGTTACCTTTATTATTCCCATTAATTATTACCATTATTACTATTATTGCCATTACTACTCTTATTACTATGATTACTATAACGCTTGTTTCGGCAAGGCCACCATCCGCCTTGCCGCACGCGGATGCCTCAGGCCGTCGCGCTTGCGCTGTCTGCCGGCTGTCTAGACTCTAGACGGATCTATGCGAATCCATGCTGCGCATCAGGCTGCTTAAGGGCTCGGCTATCGATGATCGGGTTCAGAGGCATGGTCCAGAATTGGAGCTCTCTCGCTGCTGTGCCGGCACCTGACGGCAACACCACGACGGACCACTTCAGAGCCTACGGAAAAACCACATGCTCCGAAGCAGGCGCCCATGGAGTTCACGGCACAGAACATCTCCAGCGAGTAGAGGGTGTCTGGGCCTGGGAATGCTCTTCCGAATCTGCCGACGGAACCCAAAAGCCAATCTAAACGTCGAAGCTCGGAGCCGTAAACTGTAAACGGTCACAGCTAGGATCCTTGAAGAAAGAAACACTGTTTAGATTTGGTGTAAGTAAACCCTACATGTTTTCAGAGCCGCATAGCCCGCCTTTAGTTTGAACACTATCAAACCCTGTAGAAACACCCTTACAAAAGACCACCTCGTAAACCCTTTCTGAAGCCCCTTGATAACACTCTCATAAACGCCCTCTTTTTCCGGCAACCCCCACAAAAACGAACCTTCTATATCTATCTATATCCATATATATCTATAGATATATATATATATATATATGTATCCTACACCCCGGTGTGGCAAGTCTTCTTCTAGCGAGGCACGCAAGCCCCCGAGACGGCCCGTCAAGTGCTCCGAGGACTGCGAGCGGAGGTTCGAACCCCCCATCTCCCAGCGACAGCGCCTCCGAGGGCACCGAAGGGGGGGTTTAGGGTTTAGGGTTTATAGGGTTTATAGGGCTTATAGGGTTTATAGGGTTTAGAGAGTTTAGGAATTTTGATTGTTGGAGGGAGTTTGAATTTTTTTGGTTTAGGGGGTTTAGGATTGTAGGGGTTTGGAGCGTATGGTTGCGTGGGTGAGGGGTTGAAGGGGTTACGGTTTCAAGGCTGCTTAGTGTCGTTTAGGATCATTTAATCTTTGGGCTTATGATTATGTCGTGTGTTTAGAGCCTGGGGCCTGTAGGGCTAGAGTAGAGTACAAGTACATAGGGTTTTGGGTTTGAAGTGTCGGGCTATTTGGGATTAGGGGTAGAGGCGGGACGCTTCGGAACTTCAGTTCAGTTCGGCATCCAACGTTTACGTACTCACCCTTGCACGTTTCCGCCTCCAGGTTTAAGGAGGCAGACTCTGCAATTCTCGGTGGCCTCAAAAGCGTCGATTTGGCAGCGAAGTGGTGGTTTAGATCAAAGCCCAAGCTTGCCTGTAACGTCGGTTCAAACCCAAACCAAAGAAGAGAAACGAAACTCTAACCCCCCAAACTCCAAACCGTAATTACAAACCTAAACCCCCGAACTCCAAACTCCGAACCCAAACCCCCTACGCTCCAAACCCTAAACCCTCAAGGAGTCTCCAATTAGGGCCTGCAGAGGTCAGTTCTGCTCACCGGCAAGTCGACCACTGCCGAGGACCTACCTCGGCGGCACTTTAGGGCTGCAGGGCTCCAGAGTGTAAGGGTTTAGGGCATATAGGGTTTGGGGTTTAGGGTCTAAGGGTATAGAGTGGCTGTGACAAGGAAGCGGGCCACGAGAGACCGAAGCTCCGTCTGGGCTGGGATCCGAGCTCTTTGACAGACTCCGGCTCCGCTTCTCGCTCGGGCTCGCCTCCTCTGCTATCGAGAGCTGCGCTTCGTAGCCTTGGAGGCTCGCAGCTCGTCTAGAGGCCCTTCACACGGCGCTCTGAGGCCACGTCTCCGCACTTCTTCGCACTGCAACCTCGGCGACCATCGGCTCGCAGCTCGCACTGCTCGCACTGCTCGCAGTGCTCGCAGTGCGCCGAGTCCGAGCTCCGGGCTGCCACCGGTCTGCCGTCCGCTCGTTTCCCAGCACCTGCCAAGAGAGGAGAAGACGCGACACGGCGAGGTCGGCTCTGGGGCACCAAGAGCAGGGCCTGAGGCGGCTTCCACTGCAAGTCCACGTGCGTCGTGGAGGCTCCAGCGCTCGACAGGCCCCTGCGCCACTACGGCACAAGGAGCCGAACCCGGGGAGCCGTCGCAGCCAAGACGCAAAGGCGCGGAGCAGCGTGCATTTGTCCGGCAAGAGCAGGAGACGCTGCCGCCTGAGAGCCGGTGAAGATCAGTACAATCAGTTCCCGGATTCGACCCGGGGGGTGACGGATGGGCTTGCACCTGCACCGGCTTGGCTTTCAAGCCGCAGGTGGAACTCGTAGTCCGTGTCCGGGAGCAGATCACTAAGCTCGTGCCTGTCACAACAGTTCGGAGGATCTTGCAAAAGGCTCCTCTGATCTTCGAGAGCTCGGCTGGGTCGATTCTGGATTGAGGTCCAGGATATCATCGCGGCCTCTGTGACACTCACTGGAAGCATATTCTGCCGAAGCCCCTGAGCAAACGATGAATATGATTGGAGTCAGGCGGTCGGTCTTCACGCGAAGCCGGATGACATCGACGGGGATCTGGGCAGCTCTGACAAGTCTGCAACACCGATTTGCCAGATTCCCGTGCAATTATCCGCGATGCTACGGGGGACACTCTCGCGCAGTTGATGGAATACATCCATAACTAACCGTCAGGACATCATCTCCATCACTATCACCATCACCGTCCCCATTGCTATCGCGAGCATAGGCATCACAGTTTATGCACACCACACTCATCATCATGCATCACCACCACCACCACCACCCCCACCACCGCCGCCGCCGCCGCCGCCGACCACCACCACCCCAACCAACCAAGCAACCAAGCAATTAACAAGAAGCCAAACCACAACCTCCAACACCAACACCAACAGCCACAGCAGCAGCAACAACAACAACAATAACAACAATCATCACCAGCATTGCCGTTGCCATTATCAACATCTTCGCCGAATCCTCGCCCTCATCACCAGCAGCACCAGCAGGAGAAGGACTGTCATGACACCACCACAAGAACCAGAAATGTTGCCACTGCTGCTGCTACTGCTAGTGTTACTGTCGCCATTACAAAGAAAACGACAGCATCATGGCAGGTCACGTCGAACAGCAGTGAACTGACATCAACGTGGACCGCTATATCTGACAGACATTAACAGTTTCATTGAACCCCAAAAGTGGCAACAGTCAGGAAAAGATACCTTCGAGGTTCATAGCAGGACTCTCAGACCCTACCAGTAGAACAAAGTACGAAATGGCGATCATCAGAGCAGAAATAGACCTCCCGCACTCGTGAAGCTGATCAAAAGCCACTGCTTGGTGCATAGCCCACCTGGTGAAATGGATCTGGTACCAGGCAGCGATTGGGAACTTTCGGAAATTTGTGGCATAGAAATACGTCATTTATAGACTGGGAGTGAGACTACCAAAGACTACCAAGGCGTTCATAGACCCATTAAATTCCTCGGGTTCCCTGTCCCTCTGTCAGCTTCCCACGAACAACCCTTGATCTGAAAAAGCCTCGTGAGAGCCCGACTGCCTCTTGACGGAGACTGGTGTTTCACTGTTTCACATGTGCGAACTCAGGACTGGCTCCCAATCAAGCCTCGCTATGAGGATTTGTCGGAACACAGGGCCTCATCACGCATTTCTAGATCCAAAGGGACTGCATATGCACAGTCAGTCAATCATATACCGAGGTATAAACGTATCCCAATGGTCACCCGCCACTTCTTCGGAGAGGATACGGCTTCAGCCTGAACAGGCGCCTGTGTAGAAGAGGATGAAGCAGTTTGCCACTGGCGGCATTCTTCTGCCACTGTGCAGCTGGCAATCTTCAAGCTCTTGTCCGGGCCGTCGATGTGGATAGGATTGTTGCTAATGCACAGATCCCTGTGAAACCCGCCAGATAACACATAGTCCAGCGCCGGACTTCAACAGGAAGCTGCGGTAGCTTCCAGCGCTTCAAGCCAGGGCTGAAGTATTCATAGCAGCCTGGCGATTCTTTCAGCTGTTGCGGGAAGGTAAAGATATAGCAAGGAACCTGAAGCCTGAAGCGGAGACGAATCCGTTTTTCACCTCATGAGGACGTCCGCACCTCGTGTAAGGGAGTGGTCACGGTGTCAGTCCCGAGTGGCCATGTCTTGAGGTCCATTGAAGCGGCAATCGGAAGCTTCGGCTGCGTGCGGTTGCTGAGGACCCAGATCTGCTCTTCAAGAACAAGTGTCGCTCTGGGTGGTCGCAAAACCAGTATGTGCCCCCCCATCAGAATATATATAGGGATAGAAGTACCCCTGAAACAAGCCGCTCGGCTCAAGTTCCCTCGGGAATGTGGTCTGAAACACTTTGTCTTCCATCTGCGTCGCTGCGGGATTCTCCAAGGTGCGCTTCGTGGCGAGCTCTGCGCCCATGTTCGTTTCGACAAGACACGGTGGTGCGACTGTCGTCCCTTTGGTGGAGTTGAGTTACCACATGCAACTTGTGGGCTTTGAAACTAACTTGGAGACTCTCACCTGACTGCGGCTTGAGGTACGGCTGGCTGGAAAAAAATGCGCGATGTATTTCAGGGCAACTCTACGACTCATCCGGGAGGTAGATATTGCAAGTTAACGTGGCTCCTAAGTTGTTACAACTCAATGCTTATCAGCGTGAGTACTTTGAAATACTCTTCCTCTAGCCTCCGTATTCGGATTATGATACAATTTCACCGAAGACCCTATCGAGTCTGTGATTCGCAGATTAGCACTGCAATCTGAAAGGTCTCAAGCCCTAAGCCCTTCAATCTGACAGTTGAGTGCACTAGCACGCGCACTGCGTAAGATCCTACTTAGGATTTCGAGATCTAAGGGTTCAGGGCCTAGGTTGAGAGCTCAGGCGGCCCTCACGCCTTAATCACTAAGCCGCAAACCGTATCACAAGGCCACCCAGATTTGAAGAGAGGCCCCTACATCAACAAATGTTCAATGGTCTAGGAACCTGAAGAAGCTGTTGGGCACTCGCCGGCTTTCATGAACTTGGGCTGTTGAGGGTCTGGGCTTCAAGGCTGACCTCACCCAAACGCCCACCTTCTCGTCGAGCTCGAAGCCGGTCCAGCCTTCTGAGGTGCTTCAGCCGAGCTCACGGTTTGGGGCTCTAGGTTTAGGGTTCCCTATACCCACACCCTAAGCCCCCTAGTTCCTAAACTCCTAAACCCCAGATTCGTTAACTCTGTCTTTCATGTTTTCGGCTTCCGGGACTGGCACTGAACCTCCACCTTGAACTCCCAAATCCGAAGACATCCTCAGCGTCACGGCCCCGACCCGAGACTTAGCACCGGGAGCGCGGCGCAGCTTGGCACGAGGACCGTCACAGCAGACCTGGAGGGTCACCTGCATCGTCACTGCCCGTCCTCTTGCGAGACACCCTCAGGCCACACCACCCCCCTGGCCGCAGGGCTGTGCTAAGGATATGATTTGGTACGATGATCCACAAAAATCGGATCTGGAAGGCTTTGGGTGGGATCAGACTAAACTCTGAACGGTCTGCAACCCAATGCTCAGTGCAGCTTAGGGCCCAACCACAGGAGGCGGAAGCACCTGCTTCTTGGCGTTGCTTCTGGTTGCTGCGAGAGTAACGACAGAGAAGGGCGCTTCCGAATACATACAGTCAGTCAAGAACGTGAAAGATGCCGAGAAGAGCGAGACAGAGAGCGAGAGAAACAAACGGAGAAAGAGAGAGATAGAGCAAGATAGAGAGAGTAAGAGGGAGGAGAGGTACTCCACTGGGTCGACTTGGGGCAATCGCAGCTGCAACTGTGTCTGAATTAATGGCCTGGTGGATCACCTGAACTCGTAGTGGCTCTCCAATGCAGCCAATGATGCCTCGGAAGAGCTTATATAAGTCTAAGGCTTTAAAGGGTCAGCGTTGCATGCGAAGAGGCACTTTGGGAAAGCACGTCCTGTAGTGAGGAGAAAATCAGGGTCTTCGATTCCATTATAGCACGAATGAGGGATTGCGTGGAGAAGCGGTGCAGCCCAAAGAGTGAAAATTCGAAGTAGGCCTAAGCGGATGCTAACGTGAGCCAAATGAGTCGGTGGGTAGGGGCTGGAGTGGCGAACGTAAAAGAATGCGTGAGTGATTGGGGTTACATGAGTAGCTCAACAACCTTCTCTCGTGTCTTCCTGTTTTTTGGGCTCCTCGCGGCACGACAGCAACTGGTGGGCACGCGGCCCACCAGGAAGTGGTGCACAATCTATAATCTGCTTGCAAGTTCCACAAGAGTACAAGAGCCTGCGTCTACGCCGTCTTCGACGCAGGGTGGCTCTGTCTTTGAAAGAGTACCGATGAGTACCGAAGCAAGGCTTAGGGCTGCCGTGGAACTCGCCGAAACAGCATGCAAACAACTACCTCAAAGAGAGATGAAGCAGGCAACCTCCAGTGGAGGCGAATTTGTGCCTTTGTCCTGTGCGTATCACTTTCAAGGGCCCGGTCAGCTGGCAGACTCCAGTCGCCATTCCTGGAGGTCCTTTGAAGTGGCAATCGGATCAAAAGATAAGCACGGCTCAGCACTGAGTTCCTGGAGCCAGCTGGTGAAGGGCTTTTTGAGGCGACGTCCCTGCCAGGTTGAAGCAGACGTTTGCGTAAGGAGGGTGTTGTTGTGCTGCAGAAGGTCCGGCCCGAAGAACACCCTGCGAGGCGTACATCGCATGTTGGTTCACCGGCCGGTCGCCAAAGCTGATCACCCAGAACTGCAGGTGGGTTCACTGCATTAGCAGTTGCAAAGCGTACGATCGTTGCAGCACAAGCTCTGGCGTAAGAAACTGCCCTGATGTGGACATTTTCTGGAGGAACACCACCAGTCATGGGAGCTTCACGCTGGCACCGTTGACTGATTGTAAAGCGACTGCACACTGGCCCTGCTTCTCGTGGTTGCCACGCATTGCTCGGTCTGCACCTGCGGGGCGGCAACGTTTGTAAGCATTCGGAAGCTGACTCGTTCACTTGGTCGACCACGGCTTCCAAACTTGGATCCAGGCGCCGCATGCGCTGCAGCTGACCTGAGTCTCTGGACATATGTCATAGCCGGAGAAGTCGAAGACTTCGTACGTAGTGACAATGTTGACTAGTCGTGTGGTGTCGATGTTGACAATGACCGCCAGGTAGTCCATGATGACTTGCGTGTGCAGAATCGTGTGGAAACGACCCATAGCTTGCCACATAGTCCCTGTCTCGCATCAGCAGCTTGGAGTCCTTGAAAGCCTTGCGCAACTCAGTCTGACACCCTGGCCAGGCCTAGCCCCCCCTCAGTCAGAGCCGTCCCGCCAAGTGTTGGGCCCGTCGCAGTCGAAGTCGACTGGCCAGGCCTGCACCAAGACGTATGTATGTCTGTCTGTATGTATATGTGTAGATCCTTGTGATCGCAGTTTTTTGGGATTCAAGCATTCCTAGACTTGCTTTGCTGCCTCCTACCTGGAGACAGCAAAGCAAGTCTAGGAATGCTTGAATCCAAAAAAACTGCGATCACAAGAGGAGGGCGGGGGCGCATGCTGTTTTGTGCACATCGTGCAGAAAACGCCGCCAGAAAAATGGTATGCTCAGTGCCGACGTCTCGAGGAGACTCAAAAGGGGCGCTTGAAACAACCTTCTGGAAAGAACATGGCGCCAGTCGACCTCACACGTACGTCCCGGCAACACAAACCACCAACCACAGCGAAAGCGCCCGATGGACATCACGTCCGCACCCGGCTGCACAAGCTGCATCCTGCCCCGTGAGCATAAGCAACAGCAGTCTGTCCCGCTTGCAAGCTTTACATCAGGTCCTCACGGACCGCCATCAGCAAGCAGTCGCTCTGGTCACAGGCTGTTGTGCGCTGGAGTGCGCGATGCTGAGCTCGGGCGACAGGCTCATTCTATGTGCACTATGCTTCGTAACGCGGTTCACGGTTGCACCTGAAGTCGCCGATGGCAACGATGGCTTTTCCCCGTGAGGCACCGAAAACCCTAGCCGTAGCATACACTCTACGTGGCATTAGGAAACCAGCTTGTCTTGGAATGCCCCTGGAGCCTTCAGTGCCGCACACGGCAAGCAAATGCAAGCAAGCTCTCATGGCATGCAACACCCAGCAAGTAGTGAATTGGGGGCTGGAGGCTGTTCGATTTCACTGCGCTGGGGATCTACGAAGTAATGTAATGAACACGACTGCTCCGCCTTCGTTTGAACAGCCTGCAAAGTCTCGGGGAGCTCGGTGGACCTGAACCTGTTACATGCCACAAACTGCTGCAAGGCTCTGCTGGGCTACCGCGCGATATTTGCGCGACGAGAAGAGGCGAAACTCTAACTCCTGAGCAGGGACGTAGATTTCGTCGCATCATCCCCGACATCGCAATCTGTGACAGCAGAACACCTCCAATCTCCAATGGCAACGACGACGACGAAGACGACGACCACCACCAACAACAACAACGTGACCATGTGGACACGATTATATTGCTTGCAGCCTTGTCCTTCTCTTATACATGCTACTTGTGGCCTGTGCGGGAGACACAGCTGTTGAGATCGAAACAGCTAAATCCCTCCTCTTCAGCCGAAACTGCAGTCCGCCGCTGTCCGCGGAGCAGGAAAGGCCTCAGAACAGGGGTCTTGAATTCTATCCCGATTTTCAGCTTATACAGCTCTGCTTCCCTTGTTGCGGAGCGAAAGCTGATGGAAAGCGAGCATGCCTGTGACATGCACGAGGTAAGAGTTGACCAAATAATGCTCCCGAAACGGAACCATGTGTCGACAAGCGCCTCAGCGGAAAGATCAGACCTATCAGCCAGATCTGCATCTGCTTCCTTACATTTGACAGGTCAAAAGCCTACAAGCCGCAAAACTCACTTTTTTTGTCAAAAAGCAGGCTTCCGAGCTTTAACTACGGCCAGAGGCTTCGGGTCGAGGGTTGAGTTAGGGCTTAAGGTTAAGGGTTTGATCAGCAGAAGATCGAAGACACCGGGACTCTCCTTTCCATACCGAGCCCCGTGCGCCACCAGCTCTACGGCACCGTACATCCTTGGTCTGCTCGCATTGAGATTTTTTGGGCTTTGGGCCTGTCGTGTGTGCCTTTTGTGGCTGTATTTCTGTGACTTTGTGAACCGTTGTTCGTACAACGCTTCCGTTTTGATGCTTTACAGGGCCGCGCAGTCTTGGGTCGGAGTTGGGCCAACCCCAACCCCCCGAATTACAAACCCTTAAACCAAACCCTAAACCCCTTTCCCTCTCCCTCAATGCAGCCCCCTTATCCCTAAACCCTAAACAAAAACCCTAAGCCCGCCCTTTGCAGCCATAGCCACAGAAGCTTGCCGTCCCGGTCCACCTGGAGATCGGCCTGGGATTCTGGGGGCTTGCAGCTTTACTCAAAGAGGATTGCTACAGCTGCTACAGGTTGGGCACTGCCCCCCATATCGTGACCGTCTACAACAGGGCTACTATTAAGGTCCCCATATGGTAACAATCTATAATAGGGCTCCCCTAAACCCTAAACCCTAAACCCCAAAACGAAACACGGGAGACCCCGAGGAACCGGGGTCCTTACGCGAAGCCCGGGATCGATCTCGTTGAAGGACTGGCTGCCCAGGTAGAAGCCGCCGCCCCCTCCGAAGCTTTAGGCTTGAAGGTTTAATTAAGGTTTCGGATTTAGGGGTTTATGTGTTTAGGGAGTTTAGGGTTTAGGGGTGAGGGCTCAAAGTTGGGGAGTTTGGGTCGGGTCGAGGCTTCAGGACTTTGGGGCGATTTCGGGCTGCTTTGCAAAGGGGCGCCTGCGTTGGTCCAGCGCAGGCCACGTGGCACCAGGGCAATGAAAGGTGTCTCGCCGAGTACCTGTATGCATCTTAAGCTCTCGATGCGTGGGGGGTGCTTCGGAGCAAGGCTGCATCGGACTTTTGGCAGGTTTCGGCACCGACATGGTCACGTGGCATGCACCTTCGTGCACACCCCGGTTGTCTTGTAAAGGTGCAGGACGCCGGATCTTCGGCAGGGGTGGGGCTCAACATTCATGCGTGGTGCAAGCAACAGCGACAACCATGTGTAGCGCACAAGCACCCTATGGCTCCTTCGTCCCTGCCAAAGGTGGCGCTCTCACTCGTTAACGGGATAGGCTCAGGGCTATGCCACGGCTGCTGGCTGCTGGACTCAGATGTTCGGCTTGTGGCTCTGTGGATCTTCGGGTACAGAATGGTACAGATCTTTGCAGCACCCGGAGCAACAGCCGCCACTGAACGCCCTCACAGCATTCTGGTGGCCGAGTAATTCCCCCTGAGCAAACCTCATCGCTCGCGTCACCCTGAATGCAGCCCTTGGGGCTGCGCCGAGGGATAAGGGAGACATGATATTCTAAGGCCCTACACAATCCTAAACCTAAAGCGCAATATTGGGAGTTTCCGAAAATTAGGGGTACGCTAGTTTGGGGGGCCTCATAATCAGAATCCTACTATTATTTAGGGTACTATATTGGGGTCCCCTATTTTCGGAAACTCCCAGTACCGCGGTCTCACCGGAGGCGCATTTGAGTGTCACCGGACTCGAGCAGTCTCGCCTGGCCTGCACAGAGAGGAGAGCGGCTTGACAAAGACGAGCAGCAGCAGCAGCAGCAGTAGTAGTAGTGGTACCCCTAGTGGTAGTAGTAGTAGTAGTAGTAGTAGTAGTAGTAGTAGTAGTAGTAGCAGTAGCAGTAGCAGTAGCAGTAGCAGTAGCAGTAGCAGTAGCAGTAGGAGTAGGAGTAGGAGTAGGAGTAGGAGTAGGAGTAGGAGTAGGAGTAGGAGTAGGAGTAGGAGTAGGCGACAGCGTGCTCCTGTGACCCCCCTTTCGCCTCCTTTGTCGCATGCCTCTGACTGTGACCTCTCCCCTTCGCATGCGGCAGCCGTTTGGTTTCTGCGCCACGGCACTCTGCGCCCCGGCACACTGCTTTGTTGCCCGGCTTGGGTTTTGCTCTTAGACTGGTTTGGTTCGGCTTGGTTTCGTATGGCTTGGCTTGGGCTTTACTTTTGCATAGGGTCTTATCTAGGTCTTATTGTTAGATAGGGTCTTAGTGTTAGATAGGGTCTTATTGTTAGATAAGGTCTTATTGTTAGATAGGGTCTTATTGTTAGATAGGGTCTTGTTGTTAGATAGGGTCTTATTGTTAGATAGGGTCTTATTGTTAGATAGGGTCTTGTTGTTAGATAGGGTCTTATTGTTAGATAGGGTCGTATTGTTAGATAGGGTTTTCCTCTGTCACAATGGTGAAAGGAGATCTTTGTCAAAATGGCTTGGCTTGGCTTGGCTTGGCTTGGCCTTTTGTTAGATAGGTTGTTAGATAGGGTCTTATTGTTAGATAGGGTCTTATTGTTAGATAGGGTCTTGTTGTTAGATAGGGTCTTATTGTTAGATAGGGTCTTATTGTTAGATAGGGTCTTATTCTTAGATAGGGTCTTGTTGTTAGATAGGGTCTTAGTGTTAGATAGGGTCTTATTGTTAGATAAGGTCTTATTGTTAGATAGGGTCTTATTGTTAGATAGGGTCTTGTTGTTAGATAGGGTCTTATTGTTAGATAGGGTCTTATTGTTAGATAGGGTCTTGTTGTTAGATAGGGTCTTATTGTTAGATAGGGTCTTATTGTTAGATAGGGTTTTCCTCTGTCACAATGGTGAAAGGAGATCTTTTTCAAAATGGCTTGGCTTGGCTTGGCTTGGCTTGGCCTTTTGTTAGATAGGTTGTTAGATAGGGTCTTATTGTTAGATAGGGTCTTATTGTTAGATAGGGTCTTGTTGTTAGATAGGGTCTTATTGTTAGATAGGGTCTTATTGTTAGATAGGGTTTTCCTCTGTCACAATGGTGAAAGGAGATATTTTTTTAAATTGGCTTGGCTTGGCTTGGCTTGGCTTAGATGCTGTTGCATGCTCATACAAAATGATTGTGGAGTGCCGTTTCCACCGCAGGTCTTAGTAGTAGTCTCCGTAGTCGCCCGCCTGCTCCTCTAAAGTAGTAGTCGTCGCCCGCCTGCTCTTCTAAAAATAGTAGTCGTTACCCGCCTGCTCCTCTAAAGTAGTAGTAGTCGCCCGCGTGCTCCTCTAAAGTAGAAATACTTTTCCGCCTTTTGAAGCTTTAGGGCCAGTTAAGGGGGTCACAGGAGCACGCTGTCGGCTAGGAGTAGGAGTAGTAGTAGTAGTAGTAGTAGTAGTAGTAGTAGTAGTGGTGGGAGTAGTAGTAGTAGTAGTAGTAGTAGTACTAGTAGTAGTAGTAGTGGTGGGAGTAGTAGTAGTAGTAGTAGTAGTTGTTGTTGTAGTAGTTGTTGTTATAGTTTTAGTTGTTGTTGTAGTAGGAGTAAGTAGAAGCCGAAACCTGTTGTTCTCGGCCTCCGTTCTCACTCACGGAGACCCTGGCCGGCTCGCTGTGGTTGTGATGACCTGGTTGGACATTCCCTAAGCCTTAAGGTTAGGATCAATCTAGGGTTTATGGCTTAGGGTTTAGATAGTATACAGGGATACGGAACGGAGCTCGTTTCTTTGATCTTCCGTAGGATTTCAGATTGGGGATTTCAGATTTTGGGATTGGGGGATGTGATTTGCAAGCTTCTTGCTTCACTGAGTCTAGCACCAGGCCACCCCCAGGAAGTCAAATCCAAAGCTCCAAAAACACTCATGTCTGCTTCCACGCCTAGTGTCACGCGACGTGCTGTGACATTGGTTCTTACGGCAGCATCCAGCTTTGTGCTTCAAACAGGAAACAAACGCCGTCAGGTCCTGACGTTCTATGTGGCATCCCTCGTGAGTTGCTCATTGCAACGGGCAGTAGCTTGCAGTGCTGCTCCCGATTCGAAGGCTTGAACTTGCGCAACATTCCCGAACCACAAACACACAGTTGCATTCACCTGCAAACGTTTCAGAAGGTTCTGTTAGAGCTAAGAGTAGTTAAAACATGGGGAACAGGACTCGAACCAAACATCTGTGGACTGGAACGAAATCGAATAACAGCTCTGGCGAATCAGTGCAAGCTGAATGATCAGTAAGACCCAGCCTCCTGCAGATTTCACAGTGGCACACAAAAGAAGGGCCGCAATGCGGTCTAAACATGTGGGTGGTTATCAAGATTAGGGTCCCTTTTTGGGTCCTTAAAATAGTACGGCACCTATTATTTAGGGTACCCAAAAAGGAACCCTAATTTTGACAACCACCCATGTGAGAATCAGCAGCTTGCGCGATACGGCTGGATCTTCATGAGTCAAGCTCAGGAGTCTGGAGTTTTTCATATACAGGAGAACGATAGAATCGCTGGCCTTCAACGAATTCGGGCGGTTGTATGGGCGAGCACGGGATCACAGCACATGCCAATTAAGAAGCTTGTTCAGAACCGGGGTCATGGCAGATAGCGTAACCATTCAATCTTGAAACATCGGGAGGAGGAGGTTTAGAAGAGGGTTGCTCCAAAGAGGTTCTGGTTTCCTGAGGCTGATGCTCAGACCACCGGATTCGAGAATGGCCAAGATCTTCTGGACACCTCAGAGATTTCTCCCAGAATCGTAAACCCTCTAAGCCCTATAAACCTTAAGATCCGACGAGCCTTCAAATGGGGTAGCACCCTTAAGCCCCAAATAGCTGAGAGCTCTCCCCTCCAGTCGCTTCGCCGAGGGCCGGGCGGGAACCGTTGTTGGGAAGCCCCTTGTCCTTCATGATCTCCTGTGACAGCTTTTCAGACAACAGGCTTCGGGTTAAGGGTTTACGGTTTAGCCAGGCGACCATCACGAGTGTGCAACAAGTCACGACTATCAATCACACACTAAATGCTAGCACGAAGACGACCACCGCCTAATGCGCAAAACATCATCGGCAAAGAAGCGAAGAAGCACTAGGCAGAATAGCAACCCTCATACCCCTGTCGGGGCTGAGGTATCCCCGTTGCGGGGGGAGGGGTCCCTGCATGGAGGCTCCTGGATCTCCTCGTCCGACTTCCCCTGGGAACGGGCGGGGAGGGGGAGATCCGATGTGTTCGGGTTACAAGTTTCGGGCTTTAGAGCTCCTATAAAGCTCGCGCCCGAAGAACTTGCGGAGGCATCGCGACCGAAGCGAGCTTGCCTCAAGATCGCGGACATCGCTGAAGTCTGCGCTCACCTGACACCACATTTCAGGGATCTGCCACAGGCGCTGGTTCGTCTTCTTCACAAGTCACCATAAAGCTCCAAAGGCTAAAGCACAGAACACGAAAGCCCGCCGCACCTGGATGAGCATCTCCTGGCACATGAAAGCACGGAGGGTATACCTGGGACACTGAACACCGCTTCTGCTGCCTTGTAGTACCGCCGCTGCTTCAGGAAGTACCTGACAGCCAACCCGTTCTTTCTCTACTCAAACATCTCATCAAAACTTGACTGGCGTCTGGTATCTGCCTCTGTGGGGCGCACGCATGTGCTCATACTCGCACACGCTTCTGTATCTGTTTGAGAGATTTTGTGCGATAGAAGCAGAGACAGAGACAGAGAGAGTCAGACAATTAGACAGTGAGACAGAAACAGAAAAAGAAAGACAAAGGAGAGAGCAGACAGAGGTGGAGATAGCAATCGACAGACAGAAGACACGTTGTGCGAGTCGTCCCCACAACAAAGACTGGACGAGTGACGAGCTCCAGCTGCGAGAAGCAGAAGATGGCACTGCGCATCTCCGATTCCCGCCCGACCCCAGGGGCGCACATGGCAACATACTTCACCTGGCTTCCGGCTTCGGGGGCTCAGGTGTCAAAGGGGCCCTGGATTTGAGGAAACACGGCAGGAAGGCTGCAGTGGCAGCAAGGGCCAGGAGGGTCAAGCTGGTGGTCAGCGTCACGAGAAGGGTCTGGAGGTCGAAGACGCCCAGCTCGCCCTCAGACTTCACCAGCAAAGCTTGCCGCCGTCTGAACCCAACGTGAACCTACTGAATGCCACGAGCGCGTTTCCGACATCCTGACGCACCCTGAAGCGTTCCCGAACGAACGAGGCAGCCGAGGCACGTCAGGCATCGCCGACCTTGAGTTCAGAGATGAGTGCAGGGTTTGCAGGCGCTAACTGATCTTGTCAAGTTGGTTCATGTCACGGCTGATGGATGAACTAGTACTGAGTACGGCTTCTGAGGTTGTGGCTCCGTGTGGACAGTAAATCGCATCCACTGCAACTTTCAGGAGAAAGCTGCATGCGGTACACAGAGCAATGTACACACACACGCACACACACACACACATTGTACGCGTGATCCCCACAGACATACTTCGTCTGATACCGACAAGAACAACTTCCCTGGGCCACTCATCCTGTGAGCCTTGACCTTCCCGTCTCAACATTCGTATTTGCTTCTTGTGAGTATCTCCCTTTGGTGCAGGGTAAATCAAGGGGCATGAAGCATGCTTGTCTCCTTGTGAATCCCTCTTGCGGCTCAGCCCATGGTGTTCACGCGTCACTACTATTAGATACTGTTAGCTGGCCTTTTCCTGGTTGGGACTTGGAATTCTATGACTGGGTGTTGATACGTGATGTAACGCATCGGGTTGCAACAAATTTGCCAGATTTTGAGCTGAGCGGTCCTGCTTGGGTGTGTTGGGACGCGAGGTTGGTTCGTCATGAAACCGACCTCGTGCCTTCAAGCCTAGCCACAAGTAGATGCCGTGCATGTCTCTCCGCCGGCGCTTTGCTGGGTAGTCCGAGTAGAGAACGTCACTGACCTGTGGAATTGGGAGCCGGTGCCTCGCTTCATGACTTCCCGACCACAGCGCTACGGGGCCTTGTACGGATTCGCCTGCAGTGGTGACAGTGAATACCTCAGGACTCTGGATGTCGGCTCCCTATCAGGTTTGGTGCCACAAGCAGTGACATCGCTGTCAGTAGATTGCAAAGTGACATCGAAGCTGTGATGAACAGTTTGGCCCGAACATGTCTTGCAAACAATGGGACCTTTGAGTGTAAATCAGAAACATCAAACCCTAAACAATAGCCCTGCACGCACACTCAGACCTAAAGCCCTCAAGCCCATAAGACTCTGGGCGCAAGCCAACATCCTCCAACCCTAACTAAAAGGAGCCGAGGATGAAGATGAAGCCCATAAAGGACCCTGAAAGGAACCCTTCTTGGAGCCCTGAACCCTCAATAGAAGCCTGAATTGAAATCCTCACAGAACCCCTGGTAAGGCGGCCACACGTACGAGACCAGTGGCTTCCGGTCGCTATCCCTGAGAAGGCTTTGAAACATCTTCGGGTCGTTGAGAGGTGAGCATGGCTTTACGAAACTGCCACAGGTCTGAGGATTTCAAGGCATTTGGCATTGCAGATTTCGGTGCTGTAGGGCTTCAAAGCATGCATGCATGCATGCATGCATGGAGGTGCATGGAACTTCCCGCAATGCCAACAAACACAGTCGGCTCCCATTCATCGGTTTCAGCAGTCACTGCTCATCATCACCATAGGGTCTAGGGCTAGGGTCTAGGGTTTAGGGTTGCGTCATCATCATCGCCACTTGATCGTCATCGCTCCTGGCTTCAGGACACTCGGCCTGCTGGGACCAAACGGAGTGGGAGATCGCAGGCATTGCGCGCGCGCGCGTGTTGTGTGCAGACAAGGCTCAGCAAGACCCCGTGCCAAGGCCAGGTGTCGAAGTACTTGATCTTCAAGGTGACGGTCAGGCCCTGGCGGCAAAGAGAGACTCAAAGCGAGGGCAATTGTATTATATCTAAATCTGCGAAGGAGGCCCCAAAGGGGAAAAGCAAACTCAGACCCAAGATTCGAGAGAAAGACGAGAGGCTGAGCAGGATTGGAGGAGACGACAACAGAGAGCAATTCCAGGGGAAGCAGACCAAACCATGCCAGAACGCCCAAAGCCCGAAAACCTCATCAGCTCCCAAGCCCACAGCCTCGTAGCGGAGAGAATGACCGCTCCCGGAATAGCTCTCACCATCCAGGGACAGGCCCATGGCCTTTGAGGTCATATCAGGCGGTTCTAGAAGGAGGATGTCGAAAGTGGAAAAGGGATCTGTGAGGGCTGCACAAGTGTGCTATCGGTGGGGCCAGGGCATACACGGATATGCGGACCTGCTTGCAGAGGATGGGGACCTGATGGGTGAAGAGGCTCGTGTCTACATCGGCCATGAGGGATCATGATGTCCGTCAACACGATGAAAAATCAAGCAGAGACTTCATTGACGATTCTGACTGGATCGGGATGCATTCCGACATTGGTACATCCTATGAGCGATCGCACGATGCAAGCTGGCTTCTAAAAATTTGTCTTGAGCATCGGAGGCGAAGCGCTCAAGAACAATGCCCAGCGGCCATCATCAAGGTGCGCACATTGAAAAAGTCCAGGCCGTCCTGCTTCAACAACCACAAGACATGAGGTGCAATCACATGCCACGAAGTGCCAGGGAAACCCTACAAGTACCAAAGGGTGGCATGTGGGCCTTCTATATGATACGAGTGCGCGACAGAGCATGTTGCCTTGAGAAAATTTTCGGCTTCAGCAACCCTTGGCGGTGCCTTGGCCGTGGAGTTCGGTTTGATGTAGCACGGGGCCTCTTTCGTCAGAAGTCTCAACAGGCTCGGCGAGGCGTTTTATGCTCGGCCTTGTCCGTCCGGGAGCCATAGATGGGCTCCGTCATGGACGTGTTCGTGCTGCGACATAGCTGGTGCCTCAAGCCCATCGCTGCTTCAAGCGCGGAAACAGAACACTGCAGCATGCCGGGTTAGTAGCTGGAGCTCACTGCTCCCGTTCACCAGGAGCCAGCCCGGCATCTCACCTGCACGACAGAAGTCCTCTGTGCTTTGGCGCCGGGGACTGCCGGACTTGATGCCAAAAGCTTGGCGCCCGCACGGCTGGTCTTCTTGATTTCAAGCTCCTGCGACGAAGAGCACAGAATAGCCGGAAGCATCTTTCAGAAGTCATGGTCCGCTTAGTCCTCGCTCTGAAGGGCATGAGCCACAAGGACCGTGAAATCCTTCCAGGTCGAAAGCCACAAGCATCCACCAAAAAACGGCTTGTGCTCTTCCGCCTCCTCCTGCTGCACCTCGACCTCATCTTTCCTACGCCTCCTCTCCATTGATCGTCGCACTGCTGCTAGTGCTGATTGCACACAATTTACGACGATCACCACAGCAGCAGCACCAACAACAGAAATGACTGCAGCAGCGGCAGCGGCGGCAGTGCCAGTGGCAACTGGGAGGCGACCACGGCGACGGGAGCGGCGACAACGAGTGCTACAGTAGTGCTATTGCTTCTACTGCTACCACCACCGGAAACGAGGACGAAAGCGAGCACGAGGACGACGACCGCCATCCACGAGATCGACCGACAACGACCAAGAACCACTGGACTACTACTCCTCCTGCTACCACAGCTAGTTCGAAGTCGAGCACGACGAAGAACTGCTAGGGTCATGGCCCCTCATACTACTCACTTCTGTTCTGGTTCTAAACCACATGCTGGCTGCAGCTGCCCCGAGCCTCGATATCTGCCATGAACCTGCAAGCTGGCGCTCAAGCAGTTTTCTGCTGCCTTGCAGACTTGCAGATGTAAGCTTGGGAAGTCCCCCGCCTGCTCTCTATGCCACTGGTGATCCAGAGCTTGCTGCAGCCATCTTGACCGCAGGACGCATTGCGCTCCTTCACGAAGCTTCGCGAAGCGAGGATGTGAGGCCAAAAAGTGCTGCAAGGTCTCCTGCTGAGTCCTACAGCCTCGAGGCTGGCACCGGCAACCCTGAAGCTGCAGAGCCGTTAGGAACCCCAGGGCCTGGATGTACTCGTGCCTGAAAGTGTTGATGACCTTACTCAGAAAGAAATTCCGTCGTCTCTGTGGGGAGCAATGACCTTCTAACACAGTTGCTTTCCTTGACATCCACGTCAGGCCACAATGTTGTCAGGATAAGTCTGCGTGCCGCCGACTCCATCAACATACCTCAGCTGCAGCCCTTGCTTGGCTCGAGAAGCCGCATCCAGGTTGAGGAGCAACATGAACAGTGACTCAGTGATTCATCGGCTGTTCGCTTTAGGACTCTTGCAGCCGTGATGCTGGCACCTCGGATGCAGGAGGCTTCTTGATTCGGGACTCTTGACGGAGGTTTTAGACCCGAAATCCTGGCACATGGTCGGAGGCACCGGTAGTTGGTGAAGTTGCGCCACGGGCAGCTGCACGAGGAGTTGTCTGCCTCACCGGTCGCTGCAAATGCCAAACAGAATCCCCCCGTGCCAGTCCCTGCCTTGTATTGGCAGCCGTCAGTGCAGCAGTATTTCAAGTCCGACACTTTGCGGAAGTCGTCCCGACCTAGCACATCAAAATCCACCATTTCCGATCATCCCCAACCGCAGCAGCAGAAGAATAAGCAGAATTAGAAGCAGAAACAGTGGGTCTCTATGGAAAAGCAGCAGCTGAAAACCGGGACGGCGAGGTGGGATGGGGTGTGCTGCACCGGGCTCCCGGCACGAGGAGTCGTTGGGGTTGCAACTTCCGAAAGTGGGCTGTTGCAGCGTCATCCGTGTCGTAACGACTGGAGACCTGCGCGTGTTTACACGATCCTCAGCATCTTTGCAGCGCTGCGTCCTCTAGTTGGTGGCAACAGCCGCCCCCACCATCAACAACAATGACGACGACGAAGCCGAGGACAACGACGACAACGACGACGACATTGCCAGTTCTGCTTCAAGTGGGTATTGCTGGCACCGTAGCATGATGCAGCCCATATCAGTCAGTCACAAGCTCCACATAGACAGATGCTCCCAAGAGTCCTATGCAGAGCACATCAGCCTGTACTTCAAGTAGCTGTTGCCGCGCAGAAGCTGCCAGACCACGATGTACACGGTCTGTTAGAAGTCGCGACACCCCTCTTGTCTGCAAATCGTGCATGTACAATCCGAATACGACTGAGCGGCGATGACAAACATCATGCCCTCGGATGTGTGGATCGACAACAAGCCATCCCGCTGCCACAATGAAACTGATCCCAGCCGAGACACATACTGCAGAAGCCCCAAGCGCGCATCGCGAATTCTGATGGTCTTCTGAGCATCATAAACGAAAACATCCTCGGCTCACATGTGAAACTGATGTATGTGTACCGCACCTTCTCGCCACGTTACCGCTCAATGCAACGAAGCAGCATCGCAGTCATAACCACAGATGGTGTTACCTCAGCTCGAGGACATCTTCCCACGCAGTGAAACCAAAGACCCTGGGCAGTGCACATGCTTCCACTGAGCCCCTGGCAACCCATGATCCCAACCGGTCTACTTTGCCCGATCCGGAGGCTGCACTGTCAGTTACCGGCTATGCATAGCGTTGCGACACATGACACCAATGACTTCGGCCATCATCGCCTCCAACCTCCATCACAAAAACACAATAACTCACATTACATTAGTCATGTCGTGCGTCATGTGCAACTTTGATGGCGGGAATCCGTTTCAACGCGTGTTCGCGACATCTTGCAGTCGGAACTCGCATGCCTCACATTGCGCCTTTCAATCTACGAAGCTGCGAGCCGACGACATGCAAGGCAACGGCGAAGTACCAAAGCCAGCCCCAAAGCGACGTGAATCACGCACACCCCATAAGAAAACGAAAGTCAAAGCTTTTGCCGAAGAATGTTGAAGATAAAGTCTGCGGCCTCGTGAGCCTGAGAATCAAGAATCACCTCCGTTTCCGGAGCACTAAACCCTCAGATTCCAGGATTCAGGGCTTTCCTCAGGCAAGACAGTGTTGAACATACCACTGTTGAAGAAGGGTCGACTCTGCTGTTGGTCATGGTGTTTTGAAGGCTGTGCTGTTGACATCTGCCAAGCTGTCAGACAAGAGCCAGAGCTTGCGCTGATGGGATGCCGCGCTTCGCAACTGCTTATGCGCTGAGCCCAACTGTATAAACCCACATCAAAAGCCCAGTACTCTCTGTATAGTGCAAGTACTGAAAATCTTCTCTCCCCGGAATGCCACTTGGAACCGGAAAATTGGCAAAAATGACAAAGGAGAAAAGGACCAAAACCTGAAACCCTAAACATACACCTTCCAACCTCTGAAGGACTTTGCCAGGGGCTCCGACTGGGAGGACATGTGATTGTTCTGCAAAGGAATGGAGCGACTTTGCGAGTGCGTCTTCAGACACATGCCTCATCGCCAAAAACCTACACCCTCCACACCCTAAGCCCTAAAGTAAAAGCCAGAAAGTTGGAATATGATTATCCTAAACCCTTTATGGTAAATTATAAGGTATCCTACCCTAAAACCATATTCCAACTTTCTGGAGTTCCCTTTAACCCCCCTCCTCTTCCCCGACTCCTCCGAAACCGCCCGACAGACAGCTGGGCGCCTTCTGTGGCACAGGCCAGGGGAGCGGCTCCCTCTCGTCTCGGAGCACCCGGTGCTTCGGGTGCCAGAAGTTGCAGGCCTCGGGACTCCCGGGGGGCTTTCGGAATTTCAGGCTTTTGGGGGGGAAGATGATCCGGAAATGTATTCTTAAATGCCCAGGATCGAAACTTCACAAAATCCTGGAGCTCGTCGTCCTACATGTGGAGCAGTTATGTAGGTCTTTTAACTGCTACAGGTTTCGCCAGACAAAGGCTCCCGGAGCTTCACTGGCACAGAAATTACGCCCAACACCGGATGATGGCCCACCCCTGCGTGCACTCCTGAAAGGGCCGAGATCGACACTCCTGCTAGCCTGTAGCGCACGATCACCACCTGCGGCCGAAGCGCAGACATCCATTCACAACTGGCGGCACGAGTTTGGAAAAGAGCGAAGTCACAACTGGCCAAGAGACTGATGGAAGCCCATGGTTAAGACCGTTGCCTCAATCTCCGTTTGGCCCTAAACCTGTGAAAGCTCGGAGTGTGAAGGTCAAGGCCTGCCCCGACCGGAGAGTCGTCAAGCCTCAGCAAGGCTTTGCTGGTACTGGCAGCCGGTGCTGCTTTGCATGAAGGCCCTATGAGGTTCAGCATGAGGTACCACTTCGAGTACAGTGGTCGTTGCTCTTGAAACTCAAGGCCTTATAACTTAGAAGAAGCTTGATCCTGTGAAAAACATCCGGTTCTGGTTTTTTCAAGTTCCCGAAGTTGCGGGCGCAATCAACCGCTTGCCAGATAGCACGTTCAAGCAAGAACTCTAGGCTTCCGGCTCACGGCAAGGACGTCACTGATGTTGGGGAAGATGGATTCGTACTGCCGTCGGGTCACCTCACCGCCAGTGTGCTCTGCTTTTGCCTCGTTTTGGAGGATCTGAGGTTCCAAGTTCCAATGACTCGGGGCATGCAGCGGCGTTAGAGTTTCAGGGAGGTTTCGCGGATCTGTTTTGTCTAGCTAGCAATTCTCCCCCCCAGGGCGTGCTGGGATATGATTCTGAAATGGTGAAGCCCCAGCAAGACACACATTCTGACGTGTCCCAGGGCGTCTTTCGGCCCTCACCTGTCGCGAGAGCTCCTGCCCGATCGTCACGAAGCGTGCGAGGCAGGCCTCCACTCCCGGGGTTTCCGCAGCTTGGAGCTTCGGGCTGGTGCAAAGCACGAAACCATGACTGCGATGTAAGGCATCACGGAGAATCAGACGGAGAAAGGATGGCTGCAGAAGATGCTGGGCACGCTGATCGTCTAGAAGTGATCTGAACTGTCAGACATGCGCATGGAGGGTTCAGCAGAAGCTTCAGAGAAAGTAGCTCAAGGGAGTGAACACGTCCAAGGAGAAATGGAAGCCCCTACCAGTGTGATACGGCCAGCTTCGACACGGCACTAGACTAACCGCCCCTCATCAAAGAGCAACCTTCTGGCCTGCTTCATGGGCTGGGTGGCGAGAATCTCCTGCCCAAGACTGCTCAAGACTCAGCCATTGATTTGTAGTAAAATTTGTAGCACACGACAGTTCCGGGTAACAAACCTCCGAACAACTGAAGGACACATGGTCCTGCTCTTTGCGCCGCTCTGCTCGTTCAGCTTTTTCCTGTACTCGTTGAAGTGGGGGGGAGGGACCGACCAGGAACTTGATCTGCGGGCTCCATGCCTTCTCGTGGCCTGGAGCAGGGTCACCTTGGCTCTAGCCCCGTCCGCATCAATCCGTTTGCATTCAGACGCTTGCAACTCATTCCGAGCAGAGGTACCATCCGGAGGTAGTGCCAGCATCAGGCTCTCGCCTCCAGAATTCAGCATGCACGGCACCCAGCAACACAAAAGCGGGCCGCAGCGCACCCACGCAGTTGTTCCAGAGCTGATCGAAGCCTTGGCAGAGCTTGGCTGATGGGGGAAGCCGGGAGTCGATTTCGTGAAGGAAGGCTGCAGCTTGGGCCCGGACGCTGTGTCAGGACATCCTCGGATACTAAGACGGATTCGGCCTGGCTCTCGCAAAAGCTTCAGCTACCGACGGGGCAGGCGCCCTTCACCCCCCGCCTTCTCCACATCGGAGGTGTCTTTCCGAAGGATCTGAGCATCCAGCATGCAATGAAATGCTGTGACAGTTAGCATGCACTTTTTCGCTGAAGAGCGCATATGACTGCCACGAGTGATTTCTGCTGATTGTCACTACGCTCCCTCCCGTGGCGTGTTCCTCATCACCTTCCTCCGTGTTTTCGTGAAGACTTATGAAGAGGGCCATACCTCTTTTGCACGCTTGGGCAACCTCAGAAGGAAGTACAAGCCTCAAAGCCCAAGTCTTGAGGAGTTAGAGCCACCACATTGCACAATATACTCGACCATGCTATACGACAGTCCACTATGTCTCCAAACTACTTACAGCTCTATTGCTCACTAGATTATGCTTGGCTTCTGTCATGGAGCCTGGAACACAAAGCACCAAGGGCTTCTGCGAACTCCGAGCCCGCCACCTCCAGGACGGCCTCCGCTGGAAGGGAGGCGTCCTTGCGCTTGGCCCGCTCAAGCCTGGGTGGCTTTAGGGGTGAAGTCTCTTTCGAGGCCCTTCGCGCCTTCGTGCAGGGCCTTCTGCAGCCCGAGCGAAGGAGGGAAGGAGAATCAAGTCTGGCTGGGCGGGCGGATGGGTCGCATCCCACCCCCCCCAAAGCTCTCCAAGCCCTCTTGTAAGAGAGTATGCTTTTTCAGGGTACTATAAGGGCCCCACAAGGGGCACGAGAAACACCCGGGCCCCAGGCTGTAAACATCGGCTGCCCAAGGCACAGAACAGCCGCTCGACGGCCAGAGGCTCGGCTCCCCACTGAGCCTCCGAACGCTTCTCCGGGCTTGGAGATTGGAGCAGGTTTCGGGTGCAGGCCCTACACCCTGTAAGCCCTACACCGTTGGGTTTTTTAGGGTTGGGACTTGCAGATGGGGCAAGAATCTAGCTTCCTCCATGAGCTCTCTACGCGATGCTTCGACCAGAAAAGGGCTAAGGATGTAAGATAGGGCCCAAAAAGCGCATAAGCAACAATAAGGATAGGGATATCCTATATAAACCCCTCTGTAATGAAGCCTAATCAGGTAGGGATATCCCTATAACACGCTTATGCTTATGTCCTGTTGCTGCCCGAATAAGATAGGGAAGTAGGCCTCCAGTGGCAGGCGTCTCAGCGCCTTCGTTCCGAGGCAGGAGCAAACAAAGCTTCAGAGGGCTTCAGACTGAGCTCTCCTCTTCGCTTCTCCTGCAAGGCTCCCTCGAAGGGTATAGGGTTTGCAGGATTTAGGGTAATAGTATAGGATGGTATAGGGATTAGGGCCTCTCCAACTCGATTCATTCGGAGCCGTGACACTTGTCCCAGCCTCATCGAGGGCCTCCGGCATCAAAGCCATATGTGACGATCCGCCTGGGGACCAAACAAGAGAGCGACTGCTCTGACAAGGGGCTACACCAAGGACACTGCCAAAGATCCGAAAGAAGTTCGCCACATCCTGGAGGAAGGCCATGGATCGAACTCTGAGCGCCGTTTGCCGTCGGCCGTCTGCAGTGGATCCTGCGGAGAAACGTCCAGGTGCTCGTGGCCGCTGCAGTGCATCCACATATTAACCTCGCAAGGGCGCTGCAAAAAAGCAAACACAGGTCTACAACAAGGCCCAAGGCACCGCGCTTGCACTCTGGGCTGGGCCCTGCACGAAGTCGCTGGCACTGTGCCTCGTTCTCGCAAGAGGCAGAGGACCACAGGTCTCTGCCGGTGTTGAGGGCTCAGCAGATGGGACCTGCCGAAGCCGTGCTTCACCTCCGGAGGCGTGCAGGCAAAGTGCTCGGCACAGCTCACTCGCGAGCACCGCTTCAAAATACAGTGGCGGTCTTCACCTCGAAGTGGCCCATGAACTCCAGAAGAGGCGCCCCGACCGGAGCAGCCTCAAGCGGACGGGAGAGCTGAAGCGGCTCCAAACAAACCCAAGCCAAAAGCGCCGGGCCAGTGCCAAGCGGCGTCTCAGCCTCAGTGCTTGGACTCGGGCTCGGGGCGCCAAGGGGGTTCCTTTTCTCTGTGAGTGGGTGCTACAACTCCGTTGTGTTGTTGATATGTTTGGCCGTGGAGTTTCTTGTTGGCGTCCCTGTCTTCTTTTTGCCTTGACGCACCCAGAATGCATTTAGTGCTCCTCTCGTTTCTCTTCTCTCGTCGGAATTCACTGATGGACGAAGCCGTTCTACCAACTTCCGCCGATCCTCAAACGTGAGCGCATGCAGAGCTTGGCATAAGACGCGGCAGGCATGGAACCATCCCCGAACCTGTCAATCCCGCTTGGTGAGCACAGGCTGAGCCTCGAACTCTGGAACGTCGATGCCGCTGTGAGCCTTCTGCAACAGAAGGCTTTGTGGACAGCAGACACAACACGACACAAACGACACTCCTGTGTACTCCACTAACCGGCAAGACGGCGACATGTGCAGCATCTCACCCAATCCTCCCCGGCACGGCCTTTACGATCAGCTCGACAGGGACGGCACCTCGAGACTGTTGGGTGTTCCCTCCTACCCGCAACTATTGTTTCAGCAGCGGCGACGACGAAGACGGCGATCCCGAACACAAGCACGATCAGCACCAGGAAAGCGAAGATGAGGACCATGAAGATAATGAGGATGATGAGGATGATGAGGAGGAGGAGGAGGATGCACCACCGGAAGAGTAAGCGTCATCAACACATCTCGCATCAGTACCACATGCGATCACGCCGGACAGAACTACAGCATCCCCAAACCCCTGACATGACTCTGTGATACGGCTCCTCTACTTGCTGTTGTTGTTGCCCCAGAAAAAGTGTCGGCCGGTCCGGTGCCTGGGAGACCACCTTCTCCTGCCAGCCTGCACGGAACGGGCACAAGCCGGGCCTTCTGATCTGCAGGAACCCTAAACCGGTGCCGTGCCTGTGACTAGCCTGTACCAAGAACTGCCGCATCAACGTGGGGTCGATCAACTTCATCTCCTCCAACTGGCTTGGGGCACGACTTGCCAACTGCCAAAGCAAGAACTGGTCCCTGTATCCACGCGCACCCGTCGACTGTGTCGTCGTATGCTAGAGAAAGACCCCTCCATGGCTGGGCCTTGATAACTAGAATAGGGTTTGTGGTATATCATGTATACAATTCTCTAAAACTATCATAAGGAGCCCCAAAACCCACAAGCCCACGTGGTCTCCTTCACTTCTAAGCTGCCAAGGAAGGCGTTGAGGGACGGCGTCCCGCGCTCCATGGCCTTCCGGAGCCTCAGGGCCCAGGGCTGTCGGATTCCCTTTAAGGGCTACTGTTTAGGGGTATAGGGTTTAGGGTTTAGGGGTTAGGGTTTCGGGTTTTTTTTTTTGAATGCCTTTTTCCGTCTGCTAGCTTGCTAACGTCCAGAATCTGCCATAGCAGAAGGCTGTTGGCCCTTTGACATTGGACTACTTCGGCTATGCATCCCGACGAACTTCAACCTCAGGCGACGAACTCTCTGGACCTGCTTCACCCATCTGAGACCCCGATTGCCCTGACTGCCCTGCTTCATCCATCTGTGTAGCTTCTGCCTCCCCCGCATTTGATGGTTCTTGTAGATCTCGGACATCCCATTGCACCATTGTGACAAGCTCACCCTTGACCTCATCATTCAACCCTTGCAGCCGAATCCGCTGGAGCATCGACATCCATTTCAGTCCATACCGTGCAACAACTATGTCATCCGTCAGGACATCTGTCGACCACTCCCAATGAAGCTGCCGGACCAAGGAGAAGGGTACTCGCAGCGGCAATTGAACCGCCGGTGTGGCACCAATGAGTGGCTCTTGTCCCTCCACAGGCACCTCCACAGCCATATCTAACTCCTGGTGGAGGGTTTCGGGGTTTAGGGTTTAGAGTTTAGGGTTTGGAGACAGTTTAAAGAAAAGGGTACCATACGGGAACTGTAAGGGGCGCCATAAAGGGCACTGGGGACTGTAAGGGTACTATAAGACGGGCATAGATAAGGGTGCATCAGCTGTCCTGACGATCACGTTCGTTACTATCGTCGCCATGAGTATCATCACCATCACCATCATCCTGGCACTGTGATTTTTCGAATCGACATCAGGGTTGTTCATGGAAGATGCGAGAACCATACTACCTAATTAGCCGACTACATAAACGAAAACATAGAGCATATGCTAATCCTAGCAGACAGCATCACATCCTAGCAAACGGCGTCACCACAAGAACAGGCTCCCATGCGACAAGCAACTGCATCAAAAGGACCTGAAAAAATCGTGGCTGCAACCATCTTCCCGTCACCTGAGACGCCGGCGAGCACAGCCCCAGAAAGGATTCCACCGTGGCATCCATTGAGCTGGCAGGAAGATCAGAGGATCGGAAGTAAGGTCTAACAATCGTAATGAACTAGTAGCTACACTGCCGACTACGTACATCTGAACCATGATGAATTATCGGCACAACTTTATCCAGCACTGTCGGCCTCCTGATTCTCCGTTAAGCTGCAGTGCCAATGTCTTAAGTCCGGTGAGCATTGACACTGCCGCCCAGGAAGAAGCAGGATGTTGGTTCTGCTCTGCTGCTCTCACGGTGCTTGTCCTCATTCCATCCTTCATGCAACGGTCTGTGATCGTCCCGAGAGTTAAGTTTTTTGCATAATGCGCTTCGGCATAGTGCCAAGAGTGCTATCATTCGTAACACGTCTCACACCTGATGACTTCTGTTTCTTATTCTGACGTCATGTCAACCACTGACCCTTACCCTGTCGGACCACACCCCCTCGTTTTCCTCTGTTTCGTCCGTTCCCTCCCTTCCTCCCCTCTCTTTGGCTCGACCCCGGCGGCCGGCCCGCCTCTCCTCCTGTTGGCCCGGCCGCCATCATCGTCATCAACATCCCTCCTCCTCCTCCTCAATCGTCATCCTCACCGCCATCGCCCTAATTACTAATTCGTCATTCGAGCACTACTGTTCATGACTATGATCATATCCACATGTCCCCGAAGCCAGCCGGCCCGGCTATCCGAACGACAAGCTCCCAGGATTGCTGTGGGCTGCGCCGGCCATCCTCTGCCTTGGCACAGGTTTTGCAGGGTTCAAAAACTAGGCAGTCACTTGGGAACGAATTAAAACGGGGCTCAGGCGGCGGTCATTTGGGAACTGATTCAACGGGGGACTTGGGCTGGTCTTGGAGGGCTCAAACCAGAGGCACTCGGGAACTTATTCAAGGAGTGAGTTGGGGCAGGATTGGAGGCGGCTTCTTGGGAGCTTATCAGAAAGTTTGGGAGGGTTCAAACCAGAGGCGGTCACGAAGTTTATTCAGACTGGGCTTGGAGCGGCTAAACAAGAGGCCGTCATTCGGGGGCTTCTTCAAAGGAGGACTTGGAGCTGGACTATGCTTCCAAGCTTCTTCTGACAGCAAAGGCGATGATCCATGATTGGGTTACCAATATCAGTCAGGATGTGCATGGTTGGTGCTGTTAGTTCCACGTTCGAGTAAGTGTGCAAGATGGGACACTCGAGATGCGCTATCTTCCGAGCTTGCTTGTATGGCTAAGGTGTCGTTCTGGGGGTTGCTTCTTGTTGTTGTCTTTGGTAGGTCCGTAATGCAAGGCTGCGGTTCAAGTTTGTTGAAGTCAAAGTCTTCTAAACGTACCAAAAGCTCCTTCAGGGCTGATTCGATTTAAGTCCTCATTGCCGGGTCCAGGTCCAAGCACGTGGCATCTGGAGCAAGATATCGAAGAGGTCCTCGCACTCCTCGAACACAGTCCCACAGATAGGAGCGAAAGTCATCGCTGCATATTATGCTCAGCTGGGGGAATAAGTCTGTCCTCCACCGTCAGCATCGGCTCGCCCTGCGCGAGGAGCGACAGGTGAGCCCAATATGTCCGGGATCGCTCCACTTGCGTAGCGCTGTGGCAACCCTCAAAGTCAGCTCGCACTCAGGACAGGACCTGGCCCAAGCCGGCGCCTTTGCAGTGGGAATGCACAGTCAATCGGCTCTCAGAAACTCCGGTCCAAGGCCGTAATGAGCTCGCTTTCCTGGCCTCCTGCTCGCTCGCCGTGCTCCCGGGCCTCTTTGCCAAAGAGCCGAGGGACACGCAGCCGCCTCACGCACGACTGCACAGCGACAGGCAGAGCACTCGCAGGCTGCAGGATGCTAATGTATCTCAATATAGTATAATGAGTGTGACAAGCCACAGATCCTAGAGCTTCCACGACGCACAAAGGGGAGCCCGCTCGCATGTCAACTCGGAGAAGCCGCGTATCGTAAGCACCCTCATATACACGGACAGCACCATCTCATGAAGTTCACCCCCGACCTCCGAAGTTCGACAACAAAGTCGTCGCGACCTCGGGATTTGGCGAGAAAGACGATACACGGCCAGAAAAACGTAGGAACGGCGCAACCAAGGGCAGAAGTGCACACTACCATCACTGTAAAGTCTGCACACTCTTTAGTATAGTGCAGTGTCGTATGTGCGTGTTGCCAAAGGTCTGCAAGCATCGTGTCTGCGGCTTTCGAGATCTCCGCTGCCCGGGACGCCAGCCGAGTGGATCCGGAAGGTGTGCAAGCGGGTGCCTCCGTTCTCTCCCACCCAATCAGATTGTTATCACTGCTTGCTGGCAATATTCTTGCTACTATGAATATGATGCAAATGTTGCTAATGCACCTGCTCTGATTACATACTCTGATAAGATGTGATATGGCATGGTAAGGTATGCTAGCAGCTGCTAGCTAGTATGGTATGGTATGATATGGTAGGACATGACGTGAAATGAAGTGATAATAATGAAGATACCGATCGATCTCGATATCGGTGTTGATGCTGGCGGGTAGAGATGCATTTACAACACTCTACAGCATAGCATACTAGACAATACAATGCAATATGCTGCAATATAGTGGGGTACAGTGTAATCGCGATTGTACCATTGTTGGGTCCTGTTGTGTTGTGTTCCATTAGACTGCAAAGTCTGGTCAAGCATCGTTTTTCACTTTATTATGTCAACAGTTTTTAGGTTTTAGTACTATACTGTACTACTATACAATACTGCTAGATTACTATACTAGATTTCTACATTGACACTACTATATTAACTAGTTTGCCATTATCATGCTTTTGTTCTCACGCCATATTCTATTACAATACTGGGTTACTATACTTACTATACTTGCTCATTTTATATTCTAGTACGATATGTATTTGATCTTCTCTCTAGTTTTGCAATCGTAAATATACTATATTACGCTGCGATATTTTAGTATGCCATATTCACATTGCATTACGTGACACTGCAATTTGTCACATAATGCTATGAAATTTTGACATAATCATACTGTATTCTAACTATTATGTCATCACACATTGTGTTGTGTTAAGGTATAGTATATTCTGGTGTTCTCCTACACTAGTTTACGCAATGCTATGTTGTACTGTATGCCGTTCGTAGTGTATTTTTGTTACACGCACGCACACACACACACACACACAGGGGCCTGTGTGCATGCACATGTGTCACATATTGCGTCTTTCCGCCTTGAATGCTCACTCATCAGTCTGAGGTCAACACTGCTCGTTGATGAAGAGCATAGGCCTCCAAGCAAGCGTCCACAGTGAACTGAACAGGGTGCCCGAGCCGACACGGCCTGGATGGCCCACTGCCAGTCGTCGCGGGTGCACCGATGACCTCGAAGCTCAAAAGGAAAGCACGACGCATCCACAGCACATGGTGACAAAAACAAGGCCCAAGTTGGGTGGAGCATGGCATGCGTGCAGGCTGAACAAACAGAAACACGCTCAAGCAAAGCTGACCGCAACTTCACGGTGCCACCAGCTTCACAACAACGATCGAGGACCACTGTCAAACCTCTCTGCTCCAGACAGTGCCTTCTCAAGCTAAGGCCTGAAGGCACCGGAAGGATACTATAATCATGAGGCCGCCAAGGCCATGTGCCGCCTGGGATCCTTGCCAGACTCGTGGTCGATGTCGCCACACGCTGCAACGGCGACCGTCGAGAGGGTGTCGGTGTGCGAGTGGCGGCCCTGCAGTGCCGGGCAGTGCAACTCCACGGGCTTCCTGAAAGCCTCAACTCAAAGACGCCGTATCGTGATTTCTCCGGGCGCCCAGCGCACGGCTCGGGGACAAGGCCCTCGCGCAAAGGAATTCCACGAGAGCTCTGGGAATCGGCGAGAGAAATGCCTAGGAGGTGCCAAGATGTCGCAATGGAAGGGAGCCTGCAAGCTTGCAGGCGCCGGGTCGCACCACGGTGCAGCCTCAGAAGGCACAATGCAAAAGGCTTCTTGACGATCTTACGAAGATCCGCCACTGAGAAGGCGGCGGGGAGCCCGACCGCGGCGAGGCGGACCGACCTGGCTCCAGAGAACTCAACTCTCGGAGGACCTCCAGGCTTTGCTGGCACCCCTCCTCGACCCAGGTTCTTCGTAGCTTCCCGGGACACCGTGCTCCTTCGACAGGCACTCACACTGAGGCCTGACATCCGACCACCTTGCGCCGGACTGAAACCTTTGCCAACTTGTACCCCTCGGCTCCTTCCACGTGGCAGCCCACTAGCAGAGCCATCTGCACCTGGTGCTGTGGGATTGACTCCATCCGTTCTTCACGTGGCGGCACTGGGCACCCCGGCGATCGGCTTCGTCGAGCTCGTTGATGTGGTTGAAGAGGTCCTTGCCGGACTCGGCTGCGGCCAGAGGATGCAACAAGGTCATGTGGCCATGAGGCCATCATGTCCTCGTCGACCTCCACTCTCCAACCCTGCAAGCCGTTCCTGGCACTTGAAGAACAGGACCCAAGCTTCCCTAAACGCAGAACTCATCAAAAATCCAGCCAAGAAGGAAATTCCCAGGGCACCGGCTGCTTGGCGAACTCCGTACCTCGGAAGGCTGCGAGATCGCGTTCGACAGTCAAACCGCGGCTGAAATGTCATCCGAACGCGCTCACTTGCCATGAAAAAAGAGTCCTGGTATTCAACCGCCGGGGCAGCCACAGAAGTCCAGCAGCACCTCCTCCGGGCTTCGCGCGCCGGCCACGAGGTCGAAGAGCACCTGGCACAGATCGCTTCCTTCGACCGTGACACTTCCAGGTGTTGCGGATCTACTCGCATCATCAGACGCGGGATTTGGCAAGCCCGGCAGGAGACGACTGCTGAGTGCTCCCTCAAGCGAAGACAAGTTGGGACAAGAGTCCAGGCCTCGTCTTCGACGACCACGACCTGCCACGAAGAAACAGTCAGGGCGGTTTGGGACTCTCTGGACGCGGACCTTGCGCAAACGGCGCCATTCGGCACAGAAGAAATGGTGGTGGCCCGGCATAGCATGGCCCACACAGACACATCGACACTACAAGGATGGAGAAAATGACGTATGGGTGGTTGTCAAAATTATGGTCCCGTTTTGGGTACCCTAAACACTAGGTGCCGTATTAAATAGGTACCCAAAAAGGGACCCTAAATTTGACAACCATCTAGATCCTGTTTGGCTACGAGGCTCAGCAGCTCCGCGGTCTTCGCAGGCTGCTTTCGAGCTCCAAGCTCGCAAAAGCCTAAAATGCTCTCATGCTTCCTTCGACGTGAGATGCCTATGCAGTCAAAGCCCACAAACCCAAGGTTTCCTTCATCATCTTGCAGGAAGTTCAGCGCATGATGCAGCTGTAGTCCAGCGCATGCCCGTCTGCGGAGGTCATCGCAAAGTATTTGGATTGGAATCCTGCATAATTTCGTCACGAGGATCACACAGCGTAGACCATGAAGTAGCTCTGAAGTTCACCGTGTGGTGACATGTACTAGGACTGCAGGGCTAAGAACAGCAAAATGCGATGAGAGACCTAATCAATCTTGAAGCCATGGCACCCGTGTTAGGTACCTTTGGCTGGAAGACTTTGTCACTCTTGCTCTCCGATACATGCGGTGGATGGCTTTGCACCACTCGCCAGTGACCACATGGATGTCGGGCCTGCGTTCCTTAAGCTGGAACCCGGACCCTAAACTGATTCAAACAGGCCCTGCCATTTCAGCAAGGCCACGTGCTTTGACAGCTGCAATTTCAGGAAAACCTGCAGCCAGCATGAGCTTAGGCTTTACGAGCTTTACGTAAGGTTCAACACATGCATGCGACTACCGGGTACAACGGCTTACCATCACAAGCACTTGTGCACCACGGCGATTTTGTGAATGTGTACTTATTGCAGATCTATCGGGCAACCTCAGACACTGCTAGAACCGTACTCAAACTGAGGCTGAAACTTGACATCTTCTGCAACAGCATCGCCACGTCGAGCTTGGCTCAGACAGGCATAAGTGTGTCAAAGTTTTTTGCACTTTCAATTCTGGGGTCCGGCTTTGGTGGGCGTGTCGGGATGCACTTCTTTGTCCACACCATGCCTAGACTCCAACGCACGCTTGGTTTTCAGAGGTCTCTGGGGGGTCCTGGAATTGAATCGTGAACCCGTCACATGACATGACGGGATTTGGGAACATCAGTCAAGCTGGCAGTTCAAGAGGGGTACCCGTAGGGACCCGAAAGGTATAGAGGGATTATAAGGGAGTATGATCGTCCCCTTCAGGCATAAGGGTCTGAAAAATACGAATTCTGAGAAATGTCCAAATGCCGAAAGAAAAACACGATTCTAGGTGCATGATCGGACCGGACCGCAAAACACAAAATGCCAAGCCGTCAAATACATATGAAGGCTATGATGGCGGCCATCATGTGCATCCGAGCCACCTCCGAGGATTTCAAAGGAAGGATGCCAGCTGGTGGTATGCAGGCACCTTTCCAGGCGTGCAGGTAGCTGATACAGGCATACTGTCGGCATACTAGATTACAAGATCTTTCAAAGAGGGCCCGAAACGCATGAACAAAACCAAAAGAGAAACACCATGCACATAAAGAGGCGCCCGAATCAACGACCCTCATATATGTGGAAACGCTCCGTGCCTGGGTAATGGTGCCCTGGGTCCAAAGCCGCACGACGATCCGTGGTTCCTTGCAACTGGTCGAAGCAATCTCCAATCTTGCACTACATGGGGCCGCCAGGGCTACGCAATGGAAGGAGCGATCAAGAACGTTCCAAACCCTTGGATGCTGCACGGAAAAAACACCTTTGACGGGAAACTCGTACCGATGGCTCCCATGTCTTTAGTATGGAAGGTGGAAATCGATCACGTCAACAGTCCCTCCCTCACTCACCACGCATTGGACGGGTGATCTCAGGCACACGCGGTGCAGGGCTTGTCCCAAGTGGCCTCGCCCGTCGCCAGGTTGAGCCAGTATGGCAACCCCTGGCAGCAAATTGTTCTACCTTCTGCGCTGCCTCACTTTTCGAAGTTACCAGGCCTGCCTTGCTGTCGCTGCGCTAGCTTATCGGCGGAACCCAACATATTCTTTATCATAGCACAATTCTGACAATAATCAGCTGACCGAAGCATGCGGCAATAACGAAACAATAGCCAACAACCGCCTTTTCTACGGTACGTGACCGTTGCAATGACAGGGGCGCAAGATGCGCATGTCTCCCACGCCTTCGATGTGGTGAGCTCCACCTGTCATGTTAGGGATCTTAACTGTGCTCCCAAGCCACTGTCTTCTTCTTCAGACATCGTGTTCTGGGCCATGTTTACAATCATAAAGTTGTAGGGAAGCTATGGCTCAGGGATTGGATGGAAGTTGCGGAATGAAGTTAATGTGTCTCGCAGAACCACAGCAATTTCATCGAGTCTTCTTAGGGGGTTTTCACAACAATTTCATCGAGTCTTAGTAGGGTTCCAAGAACGTAAGCGTGCGATGGGACATTTAACATCCTGAGATGCGCGCGTATTGGGCACCCTGCACCGTCGCCCAGAGACACTTGGCCATCTTGGTCCTGATACTTGCAGCATCCAACACTGCGCACAATTTTCCGATCTGAACTACCAATCCGAGCAAACTCAAATGCATGTGTCGGACAATTTCAAGATGAACCCGATATCCGGTTGCTTACTCCTGCAGCGGTACCGCCTATACTGAAGTGGCCTGGCGCCAGCCAACATGGGTCCGTGTAACCTCCATTATGTCCTCGATTCGTCTAAAACAAGTCGCACCTAAAATGCTGAAAGGGGGTCAGTTTTCGTGCACATGGCAGCAGGCCAGGTGCATTTTGTCCGACATTGATGTGATTGTCTAGCGGAAGGAAGCAGCGGCGCAAAATGTCCGATCTTGGCTAGGTCTATTATGGAAACAAACGGAAGTCACCTTGCCCAGGAAAGCAATATATGCGCATATACATATACATCATATATACATTTACTAGAGACATACAGGCCTGATCAAAAACCAAAATGAGGAGATGCCCTCCCACTTGGGACCATGTTTGCAAGGTCTCGAGCAAATGCGTACGGACGCTAGACCGAAATGGGTTTGGACCACTTGACACCCCCAATCTAAAGTTTGTCCCCCCCCTGTCTTGGCAATGCTCCTCAATCTTGAAGCAATGTCATTTCAGCGCATGGAGCAGTATTTGGTGCTGGGGTTAGGGAGGTCACCCTCATCGTTCATGCCCTGAGGGCACGGCAGTCTCTGGGCCGTCTCCCAGCAACCAGGTGGTGCAGCTGCCTGGCAATCAAACTGGTTGAACATACCACCGTCAAAAACGATTTGCTAGCCTGGTGAGGAAAGAACTCGACGTGGCACAGAACGTCATTCCGTGCCGAAGAAATCAAATCCTCAGACGTTTGACCCAATTGTTTTCATCCTGGGGTGAGAAGTGACAGACTTCATGAGCGACGGCGCAGAGATGAACTGATGTTGATGAAAGTCCCGCTGGCACCAGATGAGCCGTTCAGCCCTCTTGCAGTTTGCAGGTGCGGTGCAAGTGTTCATCACTGTGCGAAAGCTGCAAGTTGAGCAACGAATTGGTGACAAACGATCCTACGTCGTCCGTCCAACTGACGGCATCCATCCCCTGCAGTCCATACTAGTATAACAGCACATACAATCTAGGATGAGGGTGCGCACAATTGCAAACTCCCAAATCGGCGGGTCTCTCAAATTTCGCCTCCTCCGCAGCTGCAAGGAGTGGGGATTGGCAGTCCTCCACAGGCAGAGCCACAAACCCTACCACGCGGATGAAATAGATCCATCAACTACGCATGTCCGGATATGATACTGCGCATTCTCATCAGAAATCATGATCATGGGTAATTTGCGAAGTCAACGTCTGACGCCGCAGACCGCTATATCCGCTACGATGCGGCGACATCCCCATAGCCTCCGGGAGTGTTGCCTTGGCATCTCAACATCACCCGGCGGATGACGTGCAGCCTACTTAAGTTTCTGGTGTAAAACATGGAACGAAACTGCGCGGATGTAAATTCGAAGGACTGCTGCACATTGCCCTGAGGTCACCACAAGGCCCGGCTTCTTGCGCCTTGGGAGGCCCTGTCAAACTCTCAGAGTGTCTGTTTTCCAATCAAGAAGTTACACGAACTCTACAATGAACTGTCTCTGTAGACGGTTGCACAAATCAAGATAGAACCCAGTGTGCTTGCATTTCCCTGCTCCCGTCCAGGCCTTGAACCAGCAGCTGGGGTTTTTGCATGAGCTGCAGCCCTTGACCATGGATGCATTTTCGCTCTATGAAATGTCTGGTCTCTGACACGGCCAGCGCATGGACATGACCAGTGCTCCGTTCGTCTTGTCTCTCTCAGGTTACGGCGCACTTCTGGAGATGAACTGTCACCTGTGCCCGGCAAAACAGGTTGAGACGTGCTGTGGTCTACAGGCAAACCGACCCTCCCCAAGGCCAACAGTGAAAAGGGACGCGCGCTGCCCAGGCAGGACACCTCGCCTCATGCCTGCTTAAACTCGCTTGGCAGCTTCTGCCCATCGTTGCAACTTACATGGCGAAAAAAGGTAAACACTTGATCCCGCGTCGGCTTGCCTCTGGCACGAGCAGGTCTTCCAGCTCCTGCACTTCATACACGATCGTTAAACGGTCCATGAAATCGTCCTACTAACTGCTCCAACGCTGACATTGGTCATCGCGCGGGAAAGTGGGGTACAACACATGTTTGGTTTCCCCCTATGTGAGCGCCGCAGGCTTGCTATCGCATGATGAAGTATGACGCCCACCTGCGAAGGGAAGATGCGCCAGCCAAGCAACCAGTCCATGGCTGCGATGGCCGAAGTGCTGGCGACGCTACTCTATCAATATGACTCTTCCGTATCTTCTTTCTCCAACTCCTTTTGCTTCCGGGCTTTTGGCAGCCCGTCTAAGCCCAGCATAGGCGGGGTGCGAAGAGAAGTGTCTCGGCTTCAGCAGGCCCAAAGTGCCAAGGTATGTTCATGAGCGTACACGATAGGGGTTTGGTGTAGGCCTCAACCTTGGACCCAGAAGAAAAGCCCCGACGTGAACAGAGACTGGGCCTAATTTCTAGGGGTCGCCTTTCCTGAAGGACCCTGGAACCTCGAGAATTAAGCCCTGCAAAAAGCTACCGTGTCACCGCGGTGCCGGGCATCTGATGCCAGGAGCCAGGGATATGAAATCAAATTTTCAACCCCGATCCCTGCGGTGACACCGTGGCTCTTCCAGGGCTTAATTCTCGAGGTTCCAGGGACCTAGCCGTAGCCAAGCCGTAGTAGTAGCAGTAGCCGTAGCAGGCGGCACCGAGGTGACATGATGCCTCTGGGGTTCCAGGAAATCCCCCTATGTTCTGCGAACGGCTTTTTTCTAGTGCCAACGTCTGCAACAAGGACGCCGGGCAACCTGAACCGGTTTTCTTACTGAGCCTGAGCTCTAGGAAAAAATCCAGAACACCAGAGGCATATCGAACACAAGGAAGGACGAGCCGGTGGATTGCCTGATTTAGCTGTAACACTTTCATGATGTTCAAGCCCGGGACACCATTCAACGCAAACGCGGAAATATGGAGAGCTCAACCTTTTTCTCGTGCCTGCTGTCGAGCTCGTTCGGCTTGAGAAAACTAGCGTTGATTCCACGCAACTTCGACGGAAGCAAAATGCGCTGGCTAAACCTAAACTAACACAAGTTCAAAGCGGCCGCTCGGGCCCTCGGCAAGCATGCTCGCAATGAATGCCCGAACCCGCTTTGGTAAATCTGTCAACTGTGTGCTGCCACTATTGGGCAGTCTCTGGTCTAAGCACCAGCACCCTAAGGGATTAGTCAATTCAGCCAGGAAAAGTCTCAGCGACCGTGGCTAGCAAGGTCGAGGTGCAATTGAAATACATGACTTTTCTCCAGGTCGCGGAGGCTTGAGTTGGCATTCTAAAGAAACGTGAGGCGACTGCTGATAAGCACAGGCTTTTTTTTGTGTTTGTCTGCATCTGGCGTTGTGATGCAGCTCCGCCCTGCCCTCGGGTCTGTCGGGCCTGTGCTCAGCTGCAGCTCTGCCCGAGCACTCAAGGAGGGCACACAGACCGGGGTACAGGGCTCCTGCACACCGTGACAGGCTGCAAGAACTTGTGGTGGGATCAGTTGTTGGCAGCGAGTCAGCAGCATTCAAAAGGACAGTCACAGAAGGATCATGCAGACGTCGTTGGTGCATGGTCCCACTACGGCCAGGCCTCGATTTCGGCACCTTTTGTGAGCCGCTCAAGCGGCCACTGCTGCAACGCCTTCGTGCCAACAGCGCTCAAACAACCTAAACAACAGCCGCTGTTTCTGTCTCAAGCAAGTCTCCGCAGCAACTGCTTACGGCGACAGCTTCATGCCAGACTTTGGTCGCACTCCTTCAGCACTCTTCGACAGTCGGCTGGCCTGCTGCACCAATTGGCAAGAAGCTGTCCGAAACTCACGTGAATTCCCATCAACCCACCGGCAAAGACGAGTGCCGAGCTTTCTTTCACAGTTAACCCTGTCCATCGGCCAAACTTCCAACCAACTACACAGTACAAGCAAGAAATCATGCACCCAGCTGACCAATTCACCTGAAATACTTCGCAGCATCCAACGTGGTTCCCAATTCTCACGAAGCAGGCTACAAGGTGTGAACTGAGACAACGGGCCTAGTCACCGATGGCTCCGTGAGGCGATTCCTCGCGCCGGCGGGCGCCGGCTGCCCCTGCAAGGGAGTCGTGCTGGACAATCTGAAGTTTGTCTGGGGGACGTTCGGACTTTTGGGCGCTGATTGCCATGAGCGACTTTCGAATCTTCGCATGTTTATGTCTTGAAGAGTCTGCATGCTTTGACAGTGGTGCTGTAGCTGATTCATGACGAGTCCTGGAAAGCACAACCTCGAAAACCTGCATCAAGAGCCAAGGCAACTGATGCTTGAACCCTTGAACCGAAATTCCAAATCAGCTGGGGTCAACAGCTCAAGCATAAAGTCCGTGAGACTTGCACGGCTCGCATCAGCCGCTGTATCTACCTTCACAAGCTAGCGAAACAAGATAGATGCAGCCCAGGCGGCACGCATCCAGGTTCAGGGGCAAGCCTGCGCAGCAAGAAGTCTTGAGATGTCTGAGCAGACAGTTGGCAAGCATGTAGATCAAGATGCCACAGTTCTACCCGTCTTCCGGTCTTTGCCTCCACAGTTGTGGCCGGATTTTCGGAAGCTGGGCCGCGACTCGAGTCGATGCAGAAGCGCGCTAAGCCGCTAGGCAAACTGTTCCATGGACATTTCGGGACTGCTGGTTTCCAAACCCATGCTCCTGGCCTTGAAGCCACGAGACTGTAGCCGCAGCCCCGGAAGCCAACAACAACCGTCGCACTCTTAGCTCTGACGCCAAACTGGACGACTCTCTTTTTCGTCGTGTGGATGTATAGCGCTGAAAGCGCCGCTCGGCGTGCAGGTTCAGGTCCTACAGCCGGCGCCGGGTGCGCATTTCAGCACCGGCCCGCTGCGGACTGACCGCCGCCGAACCCTAAGGGTGGCGTGGGTGGGAGAAAAGCTTAGGCGAAAGTCGCGTCGAGCCAGAGTGCTGAAGGCAGCTACGCCGTTCACGGTTGTTACTACGCACACAAGTGTGCTTCACAACAACCGTCGCACTCTTAGCTCTGACGCCAAACTGGACGACTCTCTTTTTCGTCGTGTGGATGTATAGCGCTGAAAGCGCCGCTCGGCGTGCAGGTTCAGGTCCTACAGCCGGCGCCGGGTGCGCATTTCAGCACCGTCCGGCGCACCCTGCCCCACTACGCGCCGGCTCAGAGAACCAGGAAGTAGAGCAGGAGTCCAAATCGGCCGCCGCCGCATCCACTGCATAGACGATGTCGTCGACCGCTTTCGCCAGGATGTTCATGATCGTCGACGCCGGGGTGTGGACCCTCGTCCACCCCTCGCGTCGTGCCCTGGAGAAGTCGTCGCGGGAAACCGCGTCGGCCACATTGGCTTTCGACGGTACCCGCCGGAACTGGATCAGGGTCCCTTTCCTCGCCGCCAGGGCCCAGAAGGCTGCCAGCAGCCCGTTCAGCGCCGGGTCCTTTCCATAGCCCTTAGACAACGCCGCCTGTCCCGCAGAGTTGTCGATGAAGGCTGTGATGGCGCCGGGCATGTGGGCGGAGAACGCCGTGATCGCGACCACCTGCGCGAAGATCTCGAGCATGTAGATAAATGCCCGCCGCGCCTGGAACTTCTGCAGGAACCACTGTGGGACGACGCCGTGGTCGTAGAAGACAGTGCCGCCGAGGCGCAAGACGAACCCCCAGCCGTTGTTGGCACGGTTGGGCCTGGAGGCGTCCGCCGACACTGGCACATGCCCCGCCTTGTGGATCCGCTCGCCGTCCAGGAAGAAGGCGTCGGCATAGAGCACAGCAGTGTCCAGCTCGTCGGTGGCAAAAGGTATGAAGCGAGGGCGGACCGTCGGCAGGATGTGCTCCAGGGACAGCAGCGCCGCCCGTAACCCCGTGTTGAGGCCGTCGGCAGAGTGTGCCGACGTATCCGCCGCACGGGCGTAGATCGCCTTAGTGGATGCCTTGCCAACGCCGCCGAAGACCGCCTGTGTGAGGAAGGAGAGCCTGCCCGCGAGCTTCTGCGCGTCGTCGGGTTTGAGCTGGTCCTCGTCGAGCGCCTTGCGAATCTGTGCCAAGATGCGTCGCACTCTCTCGGGAGTGGGGCTGATCGTGACCCCGCGTCGAGAGATGGTGAAGGTGACGCCTTGAACCACGTGTTGGGCCGCCGCCGGTTGGGACTTGGAGGCCTTAATGCGGAAGCCCAGCGCCGCGAAGAGCTCCTTGAAGGACTCGGTCGCCGATTCGCCGAGCTCCTCAAACTCCAGGCCGTTAAAGTCATCCACGTAGTGCCCCGTCGCCAGCAGCAGGAGCCCTCGCAGCAGTTGCTGGAGGGCATCCCCGCCGCGGTTAAAGTTCCAAACCGAGGCTGTGGCGCCGAAGTTCATGGCCAGGTGGTACCAGAAGGTCCAGCCTTCCGCCGTGGCCAAGAAGGTCCCGCACTGCGCCGGGTGCTTGACAGGCCACTGCCTGTAGGCGCTGAGCAGGTCGTGCCCGAACACCAGGATCACGCCGTCGACCGCCATGCTGCGGGCGAGCTCGACGAAGGCGCCGATGAAGTGGTGTGTCGGGACGTCGTCGGCGCTGATGGTCGAGTTGTGACCTGAGCGCCGCCAGTCCTCTCCCCGGCGGATCTTGGGATCACCATTCTGGTCGAGCTGGATGATGGCAAAGGAGGCCGCGAGGAATGCCTCGCCGGGTGGTGGCTCGACAAGGACCGCCGCGGCGTCGACCCAGGGGAGTGCCACAGCCTTGACCTTGAGCCACGTCGGTGGGCGCGCCGGGCCAATGACCCGCCCTAGGCGGACTTCGTCGACGAGCTCCTTCAGCAGGGTGTCGGTGTGCTCGCCGGTGTGTGGCGCTGCCAGCTTGCGCCGCACATAGTCGGCATTCACCTGGCGCAGGGACTCCAAGGACGCCGGGAACCTGTAGCGGTCGTCGGTCCTCTTCCTCCAGCCTGGGCCTGGGCGGATGGCGCCGATCATGTCGAAGCCGTCGGTGAGGTCCTTCTCAAGGTTCGCCACGTCGGGGTAGTTGAGGCGTCGAAGGAGCTCCAAGAAGACCGGGATCTGTGTGACCGCCGGTTTGTCCGGCGTCGAGTAGGTCGCCCGGACCGCTGGTGTGCGTGCTGCCATCCACGCCGCCGTCTCATCGGCGAAGTCCTCGATGAGCTGCCGCACCTCGTCGAGCACCTCACGCCGAATGC